CCTCTTCCCGTTTAAGGGAACTTATTGGTGCCTGCCACTAACAACGAAGTATACTTAGAAGTTAGAACAGGCATGGCGCTTCACTCTGCCGGAAAAACTGCTAACACCTCTACTTCACACGACCGAAATCATCATGTCATAATATATCAAGGACCTTGAGCGACCGGTAGACATAGCCCCATCTCAAGATCGCTTCATATAACTTCTTTTGTATTCGAAATATCCTAAGCAATTCAAACATTTTATATATGATAATTGCGCCAGAGCACTTACCATATCACATGTATGTCGTCGGTGAGAGAATGGGCGGTTGCGGTTATCCTGGCAGCTAAGGAGTCTTCTCATGTATATGGATATAGTCTCGCTGAGGATGACTATTATCCAAGTGGTATAGCCTTTCGTTATATATTGTTAGAGACATTAACCGCCATGCCATTCTAAGGACAATGCTACTTTACGTAGTATGTATGTCATGTTATAAACCATGGATGGCCTTATGAATGCTCACAGAGATACTCATCACTGTCCATTACATCATCGATGGCCAAGGCATGATATAGAAAAGCTTTGTGTGCAGCGTTCCCACGGTTGAGACATCGAACAGCGTGGATCATGGATAAAAGTAGTGAAAGCTCATATGAACCTCGTCATCTACCTTCCCCTTCAAGCTCAAACACTTGTTTAAGAGCTTGAAGGTTATCATTCCCCAAATGTCCCATTAGTTCCACAACAAAACTTAGAAACTCGCCCTCTTTCCAGTAAAACCAAAAGGCAAAAGATAGATTGAACAGAAGGGGATTCGAACCCCTGCAGGTTACCCTATGAGAATACTAATTGATTTTACACCAACTAAGCTTTATAGCTTGAGTCACACGCCTTAACCACTCGGCCATCTGTCCTTCATAAGTGTTGTGGCCAAGTACAGATTCTCGGGGTTCAATACTTGACGATTTGTACATACCGCCGTCTTGAACGAATAACCAGCTCTAATTTTTGATAAAAAAAAGGTTATCGAGAAAAGTAGTGCCGGGAGCATCCACAAAAGGTTGAATGGGTCCGACTTTTCCACACTAGCTCAGGAAAACAATGGATATCATGAGGAGAAACAAAAATCTCAGTAGATATTTCGATTCAAGGTGGATACAAAAGAAAATATATATATATATAATTTTATTCAAAAAGAATAAGCCCAACGGGGGGGTCGAACCCCCAACCTTGTGATTAAGAGTCACACGCTCTACCGATTGAGCTAGCCGGGCAGGCTATCTTGATTGTTTGATGGAAAAGAGCCTCCTTTGTAGTATTTTATACCAGAGATGGTCACGTGAGAAGAATCTTTAAAGAGTTTTCTGAGGATAAGCGAGGGGGGTGTTGAAGCACAGACCTAATCGTCAGGTAATAAACACCCAATCACTAACAATTCCTTTTCCTTTTGTACAAAGCATTATTTATTTAATTTAAGAAATTCGTAGAATTCGTTTATGAATACTCGAGTATGTTCATGAAAGCCATTCCGACTTCCTTCAACCACTTTTATTTGTCACAGACATACCAAGTCCTGCAATGCTTGACCCACTCCATAGTTCGAAAATCGCAACATCGGCCTGAAATTCACGGGCAATTCAGGTGCAAAGTTCGACGGCAAGAGTGAGTCCACACCAAGGCTGTGTATTGGTGTGCGTAAGTCAATATCACTTGTAATATTCGAGAGATTGCGAGCTACTTTTGTGACCAGGGTTTGAGAGACAATGGGATCTGTATATATCAAAAATGAGACCGCTAAGAATTCTGTTCGAATGTTGTGGGTAGCGGTATTGACAGTATTATCTGGGCTATTCGTCTCCGGAAGGAGATTAAAGATGCTAAAATACAGGTTGTCAACCAAAAACACATCGGATATCATGACTCCTAAATCGACCGAGATTGCTTTCTGTCCTCGAGCAACAAGATCATGGTCGAGAGCATCAAAATAGGTATTCGAAGCTGTATAAATTGCATGGCCTGACTGGCCGCTGATACCAGAGACCGATGTCAATAACACAAAGATCCATAGATTCTGGCGATAATTTATGTAAATTCCATAAACCTTCCACCTTAGGCAGGGTATCCAATAGTCCAGACTGCAGTCCAATTAGAGAGATTCCAATATTCGAAATGTTTTTAATCTCTGAAAAGAATTGAAGATTTTCAAGCAATTCATTATTTCAAATATATTTAATAATCGAAATAGTTTCAATATTTTTGATATATTCAATATTTTAAGTCAAAATAATGTTTGAGATATATTCAGGAATTAAGCATATCTTATTGTTGGACTGCAGTCTGGACTATTGAATACCCTGACCTTAGGCTTCAATGCTGCTTCCCATTGAGAATAAGACGTTTTCTCGAAGATTTCATCCTTAATATACCGGTATATTAGAAGATGGAATTTGCACAACCAAAATATACACATGCCTGTAACGCCATAGACGTTTGAATGCAACCTTTAATCGGTGGCATCTGTTCAATCGAAGCGACCAAAGCCTCTTTGAGCTCCCCCATGTTGCTAATATTCGTGCCGGGCACTAGATCCTGTATAGACTTGATGTAGTCCATGAAAACTTTGGCCATCTGAGGCGAATGATCGGCTACATTGACCCTAAGCTTGCGACAGATATCTTCTCTTGCTTCAATACAGAAATAAGGGCATCGATTTGCGCTTCTTCTCCGGAAACTGTGACATTCTGAGGGCTATAGAGGGTTTGAGTATTTTACATGTTGTTTAGATATTAACAGGTACGATCCTGTGACAGATAAACAGACGCCATATCCCCACGGAATTCAGGGCGATTGAGAAGCTGAGATGTCCAAAATCACCGCATGTATGCAACTTTCCAGGCAAACTGGCGAGATAAAGCACCAGCACGGTATCTGGCTTTGGCATTAGCCTTACCAGGCATGTGTTTCTTCTGGGTGTGGAAATAATTTGACTTATGCTGCGGCAATTTCACCTGAGGCAATGCCCTATCACAGCACTTGGCCAGATTCTAAAAGTGTTGAAAATGACAATCAGTCCAACCTGTAGTACTGTGCAAAGTTTGAATTAGTAAAAGTCTCGAGAAGCAAAACGAGGTGTTTTACTTGCCTCGCAATTTTCACGTGCATTCCAGTTATTGAAGGAAGGTATTTGCCACCTCGATACTGCGTCTGCAAATCTGATAGACAAGCAACTCTTTGCCCATATCAGTCCACTGTGCTCTCTGACCGGTGAATATAAAAGCAAGTTTTGGCGATCCATTTGATCGAAAAGGTTGTGGCATGGAAGCCTGTATTTATGATATCTTTGGATAAATAACAAATTGCAAATGTTTTCTATAGAATCAAACTCCTCCTCGAGGCAAGGGTACAGTATAAGCAAAGATTTTCATATACCGGTAGTCTTTCTCCGCTGCCAACTCTTTTTCATGAAGACTTAGAGAAGAGAAGTGACTCAAGTAAGCATTGATAATGCGGTCTAGTTCATTTTCATCTGCAGCGGAGAGAAAAAACGGCTTCGATGGCTCTTTGCCGTCTTATACAAACGATGCTGTGTTAATCTCTACAACCATTCTATTGCTGATCGTGCTTGAATCGAGGCCCATTGTTGCATTATTGGATAAGTGTTTTGAGAGGTCCTGAAGCCTGACAGTAAGAGAGGGTCAAGAGGCATGGTCCCAAGTCAAAAGTGGGTGGAAGTGACCAAACCGCCAAAAGAGCAAGCTGTAGATGTTTAGTTGGTCTTCAGAAAGCCCCTGGTATACCTGTCACCGATGAAGTTCTTCACTTGACCGTTCGAATATATGAAGTAATAATTATGATCCAACCGGATAAACTCTCGAGGCCTACAAAGTCCTTTGGAATTTCAAGTGAGTGTAGCCAAGCCTTCTGGATGCGCATTCAATTTCAAGGATAAAACAGAACAGAAATCATCAGAAACACATGGAATTCGCCAGCGTTGGTCTAAACCATATCTTCATCAACGGCGCATCAGCCTTGGAACAAATCTGCTGTGTAGTCACAAAGGCAGCGTGCAAAAGTCAAAGTGGTACCGCATTTTCCCTGGTGCCAGCATTTTCAATGTGGTCGACAAGGAAGTTCATGCTTGAAGCAAGCGTGTGATGTCGCAAGCGTTCCTTGATCAAGTTGTCTGTAGCATGGAGCCGCATAGACTATCTGCCATTCAAGACTGGTGCGCTGGCTTGGGAGCTGGAGATAAATCGAAATACTCCAAAGGACTGAGAACGGGGGAGTGGTACAGTATTAAGGATATGGCCCACTGGGCTGCTTACATGATTATCGATTCGTTGAGGGAAATATGCTTTAGCAAGACATTCAACACGGCGTTAAGTAAGGACTGCGAAAGTCATGAGAATCAACGTCCTCGGTCAAATGCCCCCCCGTTAAAATTTTGAACATTGGCAGATTCCTCTTCCAAAATGCCACAGAAAAGAGAGAGAAACAGATCTTCTTTTCAGCTCAACAGCTGCGTAGCCGTCTCGATGCTACAAATAGTGATCGCAGAGACATCGTTTACTACCTTCAGCAAGCACACGACCCAAAAATACCAGCAAAGGATAATCTGAAGAAGAGCCGATGCCTGAAACGACACTAATTCTTGAGGCCGGGTCAAATACCGCCAATTTCGCTCTTGTCGAAATTTTCTACTTCCTCTCCCAATATCGTTCAATTCAAAAACGGCTTACTGCTATCGTTGGGGTGGGGAGAAATGGTGAGTATAAGATGGAAGACTGTTTCATCGATCGGAAGGAAGGTCCGATCTTGCAGTTTCGAAAAAGCCTTTGAATTGGAGCTGCCTACCGATACTGGGCTTACGGATACTATGAAATGCATGAGAGAACGCATTCATTTCGCATAAGTTCCATGTTTCGGTTGTCCAAATTGTAGTTGAGCAATGCAATATTGTACATTCCTATAGAAGCCAGGAAAGTCTTTGAAGAGATTTTGAGGATAAGCGAGGCGATCGATGATGAAACAGAGATTATATCTGAAACAGCACCTTTCATTATATTAGTGTAATACTACATATAAAGACAATCTGATTAATATCATTTCAGGTTCATCTAAGCTCCTGATCGGTAGCGGTCACCGGTTAGTATCCAACTTCGAGAACAGTTATATGTTACATTACCCTCAACGAAGCAGCAGCCTCTCAACAAAAGTATGACCCATCCGCTAAAGCTTGTAGACCTCAACTTCCTACGCTTAAAAGAGCCCTCAAGTAGGAGGAGGTGAATATGATGAGGAGGAAAATGATGGTGCAAATCGGAATTTTGATAAGGACTTCTTCCTTCTATATAGAAAACAGGGAGCTCACGAAAAGAAAAGAAGAGGAAGAAGATAGCGAAAGGAATTCGAATTACCAGATCGAACAAACAAAAATGCAAAAACATACAACAGCAGGGATTCGCTGGTGGTCACCCACCCAACTACTAATCTGCCGATCTAAGGCTTGTGTATGGCAGAGCGGACGGGATGCCCAATTCTCCTTAGTCTATGGTCGTATGTGCAAGAAATGCTTCGAAATAAGGTTTTATACAGCATTTTGTCGAACCGTCGAACTATCGAACTCATATAACTCATATAACTCATGGGTATGTTGTAATGTTGTATGTGGCTTTGTAGGATTCTTTCATATCGTGGCATTCGTATCTATCGGAATTAATATAGAATCCGTTGTCCAGGTTATATAAATTATGGGTCAAGTACCCTGTTGATGTACCCGGCCCGTTGAGATTGGCATCAACATAATCATTGTGGCTTCCATTTCTCGAACATATACTGAGTATGAATCTAATAGCCTTTCGTTACAATGTTGCCAGAACACTTCTTCCGTAGATGATCTGGACTTTGGAGTATGGGAAGAACTCAAATTTGTTACTGTACCTACGGAGTACTGCATTATTCTCAGATTCATTCAAAACACACTGCATAGGTTCAGCAGCTACTCCACAATTTTTCACTTTGGCAAAGAAATTGGTTCGTCTAGACCTTGATTTTATCCTGTGAATTACCGCGGAACCCTTCCAATATGACATGATGATCGTTGCAACACGAAGAAGATCAGACAAGTCCAGTATCACCATCTGATTCTGGTGGAAGTACCAGAGTACCAGAGTACCAGAGTCAGGTCACAAATAGAAACATGTTAAATGGTGAATAGGATGAACGCTGAAATATTGAAAGGATCTCTTTTCTCATCATATCATTCCTTCATAATTTTCGAAGGGTACTCTTACGCTGATACATACTTGTTTCTATTTTCAAATCAGTATTATTCATCAAATTTTGTCTTCTTTCTCTTCTTGGTCTGTTCTCTGAATCCTAACCAACCAATCTTCGTAAGTCCCTCTTATAATACTATTCTTGTTACAAGCTAAGAAATCTAAACGAGAAAATCAACTTAATGGAGAACTCCATAACCTCCATCTTTAACACTTATCCAATCATTCAGATAATTCCTATGAAACGGTACCTGAATATGGATATACTTCTAGGAAGCTTCTCATCCAATAATCCTCAAAAATCGTCAAATAGTGGCTCAGTCAATCTTTTACCCCTGAGCTAGAGCTTGTCAGTTTCGGCTTTGTCCCCAAGTTTCTCTATTCCTGCTTGGTCTGCTTGGCCCGCTTGGCCTATAATAGTAAGCTAGTACCCACTTGCCCCACTAGCAGCTATCAATCCTTGGCGAGCCCCTGTTGATTCCAGACTTCTCACTTCCCGAGCAAGTAATCTTTTTTTTTCTACTCGAATCTCGACAGCGAGTTTCCCCAATACTTTATTCCCTGTTCTAAGAGATATTCCGATAGCGTGTCAATTCTAATGTCTTCATACCAAGCACACTAGTTTTCTTACTTCTTTACTTTGTTCTCTTGTATCTAATACACACACACACAATTTATACACCCAAAAAGCATTGCCATATCCACCAACCTTCATTATATCTCTACTTATACACTCGTTCTACTGCTTCAATTTACAACTCTTGCACCTGTTATATAACGACTAGCTTCTGCAGCTTTGACCATACTTCTATTCTTTCCAGGTAGACCCTAGGCCATATAATTATTGTACAACTTTTCGATCTACCGGTCAATCCTCTTCAGTCGAATAAGGTCCCAAGCCTTCGACACCTAATCATAGAAACACATCAACATACACTGGGAATACCAATTCATCATAATAGAACATACATCGACGTCAAATAGAGAAACAATCTAGGCGAGGAGATTTGGGTTTTCCGGCGGTTCACAGAGGCGGTCTTCCGCAGTGCCCAAACAAACCGTCGCCATGATGTTACGGCCAATTCCAACACTTTCCACACTTTCCTTATTCTTATTAGGAACTCTGCCGGGCAGAGTTCTCGCTGGCCAAACTCTTACGACAACAGGCTACACATTATGCTTGGCCGACTCGAATATCTCGGTCGAAAAGATGGCCGTTACATATGATAATGACGCGAAAACAGTCACCTTTGATGTGGCCGGATCAAGCACCAAGTCTCAAAACGTCACTGCTACGATCAATGTTACTGCATATGGGATTTCAGTCTATTCGAACTCTTTTAATCCATGTAAATCTGATACTTTCGTAGAACAGTTATGTCCGAGTAAGTTTTATCCCTTTTATATCAAAGTCCGGAGAACAGCTGTAGCTAACTCTCTCATGATAGTTCCCGTGGGAAATTTTGCTGCTTCTGGAACACAGGCGATCCCAGACAAATATGCCTCGATGATTCCCGCGATTGCTTTCTCGGTCCCCGATATTTCCGCCATTGCCACAGTCGAACTCATGGATTTGGATACTGGCGTTGAGGCTGCTTGCGTACAAGCAGATGTCACCAATGGAAAGACCACCGCTCTTCCTGCCGTCACCTATGTTGCAGCCGCCGTAGCTGGTGCTGCTGCCATCGTAGGAGGGGTATCTGCACTAGGTGCTGCAGCAAGTGGAGCAGGCGGAGGAGGAGCTGCATCCAGCCCTTCGTTTACCGAATGTATAGGTTGGTTTCAGGGTATGGCTATGAATGGAATGTTGTCCGTCAAGTACCCTCCAGTCTATCGACAATTCACCAAGAACTTTGGGTTCAGTACTGGTCTTATTCCTTGGTCCGGCATGCAGACATCGATTGATAATTTCCGAGCCGCTACCGGAGGAAATCTGACTGGCGATAGTGTTACATATTTGAAGAATGCTACGTTAGTATTTTCTGATGGGTCAACTGACACTCCCACCAAACGATCATTGTTCTCGAACGGAGTACTCTACGCTCGAGATGTTGTGACGTCAATCAACGGAACGGATACTGCTAGTGACACCACGAACACAACCGCAATCATCGAAGAAAAAGTAGCCGGAATCAAGGCATACGTCGAAGAGCTTTCCGTTCCCCAAGCCAACACTTTCATGACCATTCTCCTGATTGTTGCATGCATAATTGCCGCAATTGTAGTCGCAGTTCTCGCTTTCAAGGTCCTACTCGAGACCTGGGCACTCTTTGCATCTTTCCCCAAGGGACTCACCGGGTTCCGAAAACACTACTGGCAAACCATGGCTCGTCTCATGGTGCAGTTGATCCTGGCTCTCTATGGTGTCTGGGTACTTTACTGTATATTCCAATTCACCAATGGAGACTCCTGGGCTGCTAAAACACTTGCTGCTATAACATTAACTATTTTTACTGCTGTTCTTGTCTTCTTCGCATACAAAATCTCTTCCGCTGCAAAGAAACTCAAGGCGAGAGATGGAGATGTATCGGGATTGTACGAGAAGAAAGATAATTGGCTCAAATACAGCATGTTCTACGAGAACTACAAGAAGGATTACTGGTGGTTGTTCGTTCCAGCTATCATCTACATGTTCGCAAAAGGATGTGTATTAGCCGCAGCCGATGGACACGGGCTCACTCAAACTGTTGCTCAACTCATCATCGAATGTCTCAGTAAGTAGTTCAGTTCAACGTCGTCACAAAAGTCACATGCTAACCTATATACCAGTGCTCGGTCTTCTCCTCTGGAGTCGCCCTTACGAGAGAAAGTCCGCAAACGTCATTAACATGTTCGTCCAAGCCGTGCGTGTTCTCTCCGTAATCTGTATCCTCGTATTTGTCGAAGAACTCGGTATTGCCGAAACCACGCAAACCGTCACCGGTGTCGTCCTCATCGCCATCCAATCAGTACTCACAGGTACCCTCGCCATCCTCATTGGTGTAAACGCCATCATCTCAATCATCAAGCAAAACCCCCATCGCAAACGTCGCAAGGAAGCCGGTACGTCTCTCCCTCTCCCCCTCCCTACTCCCCATCCCCATCCCTCTAACACCAAAAACTAACCCACACCCCAGAAAAACTCAACCGCGACCTCGACAATCTCACCCCCCTCGACGCCCGCAACTCCCTCCTCATGGACTCCAAATCCAGCATCCACTCCTACGACGCCGACCCTAAGCATCCTTACATGCACAGCACGCACGAAACGCACGAAACCTCGAGTTTCATGAATGAGCCCGCAAACCCCTATTCGCGCAGCCGGGAGAATCTCGTCGATGCCGCGGCGCCGGTGGCGGGAGCTGGAGCGGAACTTGGATCTGGATCTGGAGCTGCTCATGAGAGTCGTCAACCTACCGTGCCGAATATGAATGCGGGTGGTGGCGCTTATAGGGGTATGGCTTATTAGACTAGATGAGATGATGAGATACTCAAAGCTCTATCTATATTGGACGTTCATAGAAGTCTTCAAGGAAGAGAGAGAGGAAGAGGATGAGATTGGTGTCTTTATACGTAAAGTGAAGTATACACTCACTTACTGCTTCTTCTATCTCACAGTCCAATCTGGCTTGCTAGCGAGCTGATGGATGGATGGTCAATCAAGGAGTTAGGTTGGAATACCAATTTCTATCATGTTATATCATGCATACACCAGATCAGATAACGATTTCCTTGCGTCATTTAGCGTTATAAAATTCTCGATTTTGGATTTCTTGTATAGGATTCTTTATTTACAAAGGGGAAGGGAAGGGAAGGGTAGGGAAAGAGATAGATGTTGGGTATTATATATATGGTGTGGTGTGAGCCCTGAGTTATTACTAGTTTGATATATGCATATATGGCACATACCCTTTTTCTTTTACCGATGTGGTTTGGATACCTATACTCAGTGTAACTTACATTTTCTTGAATTTCTCAATCTTTTATATATATATGTGTGTGTAGTTTGGTTTTTGTGGGTGAGTAGGTGGATGGGTAAGATGGGTGATGGATATATAATTGATTATTCAAAGAAGAGCAAATATTGGTGTATTATGTCATGTATCATTTATGTGTTTGTGTGTTTGAGTTTTGGTGTGAAATGTATATGAGATTCAATAAGGAAAATGAAGTAGAGGTAGATGTGTAGACTGCAGAGATTTGCATAGCTATTATATAAACAAAAGTTTCGTTTTCGTTTGACGACAGACTTGCGATATACTATATAGTATGATTGATGGAAGAATGATTGATTGTACTGTACAGTAGATGTAGATTGGTATGTCGGTGTCCGTCTTACTGTTGAAGTTGCTGCATGGTCTTTTGGTCTAATTGCCAACTGGTCACTGTTCAGTATATAATTGGATTGTCATGAATAGGGGTTTGTGTGGTAGAGGCAGGTGTTTGTTTGTTGCATTACTACTTGTATGGAACTATAATGGTATGATATGATGTATGTAGTCTTCAACGTTTTAACTTGAGTCGATATTGGTGTAAGTATATTGTCTCTTATTGAAATGTGGTATGAGTGATTTTTTGATATGGAATGGAAATGTTGTAGAGATCAAACTATAGTATAGAGAGCACTACCCTTAAGGTTCCATGCATGGTCTCTCTATATAATAGATCGTTTCGGTTTTTAGTATACATGGACAGATAAGATGATATGGATTTATTTCTCAGTTCAATAATCCTCATGATTAAAAGATTCCAAGCTTTCCAGTCAAGGCTCGAAAGTTTACTGCATCACAGCGACCCTTCATTTCCTACCGAGAAAAGATCCAAGGCTCTCGAGGTACAGTATCTGAATAACCTTTCCATCGGCCGAGTAAACGTAGAACAATACAAATCTTTAATTTTATAAAGAGTATTGTGTCCAGAGACATTCACCAACTAGTCAAATCAAGGTATCACCAAAACGTGTTTAAGATGAGCATGGCCACAAACAATAACTTCATGGCCACACAGTGTAGAGACGCATGGACAGCGTGACGCCGAGACTATTGTCATTCAAGATCAGAGTTGCATTGATAATTGGCACGTTACTTCCTACTATCATTGTCATTGATAGGGTGGCCACACTGATAGCTAACATATCATCCGTGAGAAACAATTGCAACATGGTATGGTGTAGCTGAAAAGCTTGTATATACTCTAGAATGTCAAGCAAGACATGAATGAGATCGTCAATCCACGTGATGGATGTACGAGTTAACGGTACAGTAACATTCTCAGATGAGCGATCGGCATGAGATAAGGTCAGATCCCCAGAACAGATCTTCAATTACTCGTAAAAAGAATCCAAAAAAATGATGATGCATTTTCCACGAATGAATCGTGAACTACCGATCAATAAATCCATCTCGGCACATAGCAAACGCTTAGATCCAATCACATCATCAACCTCGCTCACTGACCGCGCGCTTCCAGAAAGTAGATACCGCAACGCATGAAAATGGGATGGGATGGGATGGATACCAACTGAAGTTTGCAGTTATGAAAGCGCTTACATGAAAAGCAGTTTATCGTTTGAGATGTCAATAATTTGATTATGGCCAACCAATACCTTCATATGCATGATCAATAAATAGTACATTGCATTTGCGGACGAGCCTTTTTCGTCTGAAGGTGATTTGGCGAAAGATGAAGGAGAGGGGAAGAAAGTACTAGAGAGACTGGAAACTTTATATGTAACCTCAAGAAATGCTGTGTAAGATGAAATGTAGAGCTGCATCGACTTTATCCGCAGCACACTCTTAACTCGTATTTTTATTGATTTACTCTCTCGTAGATGGGTGGGGAGAGTTGGGGGCTCGTAGGCCTACGATTAGACGTTCGTTGTTCCTACACAAATTGTAGAGTATCAGTGATAGATATATTTACTCCTAGATACTGTTATATTTTCCCATGTTTACGTTAATAAATCTATAACCTCAGAATATAATGCCTCATCCCAAATTCGGTATCCCTCTTCATTAAGATGCACGTGATCCACCAAGTGCTCCTTCAGCTTCACTGCTCCCGGTGCATCCAACCAAAAGACCTTTTCTCCTTCTAATTCTAGCTGCTTATTCATCTCCATAATCAACTCTCTCAACATCATATTTGCCCTCTCCACCTTCCCATCATAAACATCTTTCCTCCAAAAGATTCCACACGCAAGGATCCGACTATGAGGCGCAATACGTAACAATGCCTGGACCAATACTCGATACGAATCTAGCCTCTTCATCTTCAACCCCTTTCTTTTCCCCGAGATGGTTCGTCCCTACCATCTAGACCCATAATTTGATACCACGATTTTGGAGCGATGTAAAGAGATCGAGATGGAGTCGAAAGAGCACGTTCTCGATTCGATCACCGCTAACACCTGTGTTGAATGAGGAAGGAAGTCCAGCGATACGAGTACTTGAACCAGTGGTCTCTGGAAGCGTGAGATCATGGAGTCGCCAATTAAGACGGTGGTGAATGGGAGAGCGGGGGTCTTATTGAGGATAGAAAGGTGGATTTCATGGTGAGTGTCATGGCAGCGGTGGGTGCATCTCATATAATCGTGATCGTGGAGAAGTTGTCTGAAATCCGAATTGGAAAAGGTTTCGTGTATGAGCACACTATTGCTGTGTTATTTTCCATGCTGGTAAATGTGGTCTGGAACTCAGAGTGGTTGTCGACAATGTCACGAATATTTACCCGTCAGCCCAAGTCTACAATGCATATCAAGATGATAAGACGAAGCATATGAGTAACGGTATTGTGATGGAGTTTATTGAGGGAGACTATCTCGAGCATGGCTGGGATACGTTAGATCTATTTCTGAAAAGTGTGATCATTGAAGTTTGAACAGCTCCGAAGGGCTCTTTTATTGGAGGCATTGATGGTACGGTGTGCGAGGATCAATTTTTTACCGGTTTTCTGGGTGGTAATAACTTATGGGCTATGCGACAACGAATAATAATTTAATGATGGTATTGTTACAGCTCTGAGCTCTCCTCAAGCAGTTGTGGTTTGCGAAATGATATTCGATTCATTACAAAACCACAAGACCGTTTTTGATCCTAACCTATGGCGACTTTGCTGCCCAGAATATTTAGTTATTGTGCAAAATACAAAAGTTATTGTCGTTTTAAAACCTAGATTGGGAATAACACAGCTATCATTATAAATCCGAGTATTGGGATTATGTTACGGTTCTTTGCGACTTGCATGGAAAAGTGCCTGGTGTAAGGATCGAGTTGTTGCTGTTGCTGTTGTCCGGGTTTTGCAAAGGTTGTCGGAATTGGCGGTGTTTTGGTATACTAGAAATATTATCTGGTGAGGCATATACATAGTAATGGTTTAACACTGTTGTTGCTGCTGTTTGGGAAGAGATGTCTATCTAGATTGATTATGGAAAATGATGCAAGTTCCTAAAAACTGGTATGTCTTGATTAGCCCTACGCTGTTCCTTGTGTTGAGTTTGGAAAGATACCGTAGTCGCTCTTTATATCACGATAATGATCGTGATGATGATGATGTAGTAAGTATGGGCGTTGAACAGGGGTGTGGTGCAGGAGGGGCAGAGAGGCAGAGAGGCAGAGTGATGGGGAGTTTAGAGGAGTTTAGGAAGCTCTTTAAGTTTCTTGAAGCTTAAGAAAGAATAAAGTTAAGCGAGTGGAAAGTGTATATAAAACAGTAGAAGATAGTTAATGAAATAGAATATAAGTTACTTATATATATTCAATAATAGATTTTTGATATACTTCTAAATTATAAAACGATCTTAAATTTTCTTTTAATTAATTTAATATAAAATAGAAACTTTTCATTTATATTCAAAGATATTAAATTAGAATATATAGAATATACTCGATTATAACTAAAAATCATAGAAAAAAGTACAGAAAATAATAAACAAAGTATCTAGCTCTAAATATTTCCAAACTTAATTAACTATCTCTTATACTTGAGTACTCGATAGTTATATCCGTGATTTCTATAATACTAGAAAAACATAGTACTGGAGAGTGGTTTGCCTTTCCAATCATTATTTATCATTATCTAAAGTACAACTCTTACTATCATCGGTCAATGACTTGAATATTGATACTCGAGTATGATATACAGTATATTATTGAAACAAATTGTAGTCTGAGCACCACCTTGCTTAAAGGCAAAAAGGGATGGAACTGGCCAATGAAAGAAAAAGGGGATAGAAAGGTGCTTGGAAGTTCTGGTAAAGGTAATGAAGTATGTACCGGTAAAAGGGTTTATGATTCATGATTGATTTACAAGTCGGAGGAGGGTGATGTTGCAATATGTACTTACTGTATTTGCTATAGATGGATGAATGGATGAATTGGATGAATTGGATGAATGGTATAGACGATTAGATTAGGATTGATGAAGCTGTAGTATTTTGACACGGTGACATTGTGTTTTAGGCTTTCTTCCTTTACTGAGTATAACTAACTTCATTAATCATTATTATCACATGTATATCAAACAGAATGATCTTAGACATTGTCAAACATTGGATAAGAGAGAAGAAGTTCATCTAGTATGAGAAGATTCTAGGTTAGATTTGAGAGGACGGAGGTTTTTATGGGTGATTGCTACCTACCTAGTAATTGTCAAGTTACCGGTACCGGTATTGTTGGTTAATGGGTCAGATCATCCGTATTTATCTAGGAGTGATACAGAAGTAGTACCGGGATGATGATACTCTGGTAAAGTGATAATATAACAAGATTAATGCGACAATACTGTACTCAATCAAGTAGAAGGTTGAATGAATTGAAGTTCGTTCTTGAAGTATGATTTAAGTGAAAGAATAATGAGCCATTAATAATTAACAATTGGATACCTACTACTAATCACAGCACCCATCCCCCCACCCTCTTCCCCCATTTAAAGACTTGGCGCACTAAGTAATGAATCCCCTGAATGTATGTGTTCATGCAGGGTGGAGAGAAGGTCTTAAAACTACCTAGTAATTGCAAGGAGATCTGTTACTGCCCAATTTAATTAAAGCAGGTACAGAAATGTTAAACTCAGGGTGGAGTTTAACTAGAAAATAGAGAGAGAGAGAGAGAGAGAGAGAGTTGTGTGAGATCTTATTACTAGTACTCGTAGTTATACAAAATAATAATACCAATTTTTATATATATCGGTACTCAATTAGTTCATTGTTATTTACGATTTCTGTCTACGGAGGTATTATATATTATATACTAAAATCCTTATCACATGCATCCTTCCTTCCCTTCTTACAGTGCCTGCTTGCTTGGCGACGGAACTTTGTACCCCCTTCATCGCTTTTCATCCCTCTACCAGTACAGTATTGATTGATTGATTGGTATTCTTGTATTCTCCTGAATCCCTTTTCACCCACCAATCAGTTTTCAATCATTCAAAACATTTTCAGTCTCTATCTTGGTTAATTCTCCCTTCTCCAGATCTAACAATCAACAACGAACTTTATGAAGCAATTTATACTTTTGATGGATAACGACAACGACCCATAACGAACCCAAAAAATATATACCGAGTTCCACTACGACCAGAAAGCAACATCTTCTCCCTTCTCCACTCAAGTGTCGAAATCTATACATCCATATGAATATTGCATACACATCGCATACAGCAATATATTTAAAGTCGTCCCATTCTATCCATACCCATGCCCATTTCCAAAGAGAATCCCCGTCATTCGGTTCAAAACGAAATTGAAGAACCTTTTACCCCTTCAAGGATCAATTCAATTCCTTGCCAGTCAATCCCAAGCCCGTCGAAAGCCTTGGTTCTTCTTTTTAGGATTTCACGAATATTCTCCGTCTACTGGATAAGAATCAAAAGACGTTTTGATTCCTCTTGCTATTGTATTAGATTTAGTATCTATCTATCTGTGATAATACCATTCGAAACCAGACATATCCATCACATTTATACAATTCGCATTGAGCGCTTCAGAAACAGAACATCATCGGCTTTTGTACTGTGTAGATCAAAATAGGGCGGGTCCTCCTCGCTCGTACCATTCATTCGTGGCCTGCCCCAGGAAGCGGATGTGATTTATTCGACAACCGATTGACTCCTTTTACTGCGTGCTTGATCTGATCAGTTATCATACGGTACTGGCATACTTTTTGGTGTAGTACCATCCATTCGCGTTTCGATTGCTGTGCATTCTTGCATCTTTCTTTTTCTTTGCTGCCTCATTCAGTCTTTTCAAGGATCGCCTCCGTTTTATGACCCGAGAAAAAGTTGCATCCGGGGGGTCTGCCATTAATACTTGCTTGTTTCAGTTTACCCACTCGGAGGATCCGTTGCCAAACACCTTACACTTCGAAGTCAGGACGAACTGAACCTTCATACCAAATTATACTCAATTGAACATCTTGACGGTGACTTCTTACGGGCTTTCGACACCTCTCGATGAAGTATTGCAGCTTGACTGCGTGAAGATATTCCCCTCGTTGACGACTTGTCCGATTCCGAAAACCCACCGAGACTTGACCTTTCTTCGACGTTTCGTTTTGTCGCTTTGACAGCATCCTTTCAACCTGCATATTGATAGACATCTTCTATTCCTTCTCACTTCGTTCATGATGTGCTAAGAGACATAACACAAAAGAGGACAAAACTTTTACTATTCGTACCGTCGATCGGCCTCCCCGACGACCTGAATAACGAATGAACACGACCACGATTGGGCAAGATAATAATGGCTCTTCCAAAACCAAAATATTCTCTGGATGATTCCTGTTCGATATTATACAATAATACCTTATACACATACAATAGCGAAGCGTTTCAATCGCTGGCGTTGGTTCAGGGCGCGAAATGGACGCAGTTACCCCAAGGAGAATCAGTGACCGGAGGAGTTTGTGTGAAGACAACACCTGCCGACGGGCAGGACGCACTGTACGTCGTCGGCGGAACGAGTAGTAATGCTACAGGCATATACCCAGGTCTTCAGCGATACAGTTTCGATGATGGGAAATGGGAGTCTATAACTACTAAGGTATTAGTAGCCCAAAATCGGCTCTGGCACAGTGCCGTCTACCTAAATGCGTCCAACTCTATTCTAATGTACGCGGGAAGCCAAGACGGCGGGCAATCTCTATCTTCTCAGACCTTCACAATAACAGCATCGCCTCCTTATAATGTTCTGTCGTATCCGGCTATAGCACCACCCGCTATACAACCTCTCTTGCTTCCATGGTCATCGGACTCTGCAATTTATATCGGTGGCACTGACACGAATACTGACGTGATGAAATTTAATCCAACGACATCTTGGATCAATTCAAACAGCAGCTTAGCGTCTCCAATATATAATACTTCGGCTGTCAAAGCAGTTGTCATGACGGGCGACGATGGAAGCAAAAACCTTTATACTTTCGATATGACCGTGGCACCAAATGTTGTTAATAGAACCATATTGGTGGATGGCACTGGAAGTCCAGTGCAAAGTGCGGAAGCGATTGTATCAGCAAGCACGGCGGGAAAACGAGCTGCGAAAAGAGTCAAGAGGAGAAGTCTTACTGAGGCTAACTGGCCTGCTTATAATGGTACATTGGCTCCAACATCCACAAGGACATCATATTCGGTCGCTATGGGCGCAGCTGGACAGATAGTGATATCTGGTGGAAACGAAGATGATGTTCTGTGCATATTCGGAGCGAGAGAAAATTCATGGGTCAATGCCACATCACTATTGGTAAAATCTACCACGGAACAAATCATCGTACCGTCATCATCCTCGTCGAGTACAAGTCCTTCTATACCTTCCAGTACTGGTAATTCTACTGCCGTCTCAGGTGATTCGACCGATAAGGCTGGCAGCACGTTTCCAGCAAAGGTATTGGGTGCAGTACTGGGATCTATAATTGGAACCGCCATCCTTGTTATTGGTTTGTTAATCCTCTTCCGATGGCGACGGAAACAGAAGGATCTCAAGAACGCACATGCAAATGGGTATCCTCATGAAAAAGACGAGTTTGAGTTTTCGGATAGGGGTCTGCCTAAAATGCACTCATCAATACCCCCGCCGCGTCATGGACAATCGGCTTCTCAGGGTTCATTTTCCTCAATGGCCATTTTAATGGGTCGTATAGGGCATCGAAGAGGAGAGGATGATAAAGGTAACGCGAGCGCGGGAAGTGGCACAAGCAGCCAATTCAACAGTAACTACAAGACTGTGATAAACGATCCTACACCAACGGATCAGACCTTTGCTCAAAATGCGTTGGCCAAAGAGGTTTCATTAGGTCAAGATGCAGTTACATCGCGACCCCGTAATCCTGGAGCACAGAGACGAGGTAGTACAAGAAGATCCTCAGGCTGGAATCGATATTGGTCTGGTGGAAGTGCAATGACGAGTTTTCTGGGGATTGGAGAATCGAAACGAAGTACCACCAATGGTGACGACGACACCAGCTCCCGATACTCTGATCCAAGGCTACCAACTCAGCTTAATACTCAGAGATTTCCAAGCCAAATTACCACAACATCCGCTTTCGTGCCTTCACTCAAGATTCCGATTCCAGGAGATACTCCACTGTACCGAGTAGCAACTAATAGTCCTACGGTATCTACCGCTGGAAGCCATTTCCCTGTGGCAGCAGAGATGTCCGGCAAGATTGAAGGCCTCCGACCTGATTCGTACGTGAGCAATACTTCATCTTATAATGATCGATCTGATGCATACTCGAGTGGAATTCCAGAAAGTGTTAATGATCCAGAATCATGGGCAATGGGTCATCAAGATTGGTCTCACAATCGTCCCAGCAATGCTTACACCGTAAGCGTATATACAACCGCAAACAGAGATACTGTTGGGGGGAATAGTCTTGCGCGTCAATCACCTCAACCGCCAACACCCACACAACAACAAAATCAATCCTCAATCCCCTCAGATATGAGCTGGTTGAATCTTGGTACCAAAAATCGAATATGATACCCTCTTTTTTTTGTACTGTACTCTCGCATTCCAAACTGTCACTATATGTTCTTTATTTTACTTCATTGACATTAGCGTTACTGAATTTCCATGTCCTTGTTTGCAATATCCTGGATTGTTGCACATGCTGGGCTTTCTTGATTAAATGGCGTGAAATGGGGTCATTTTAATAAAAAATCGACACCTTAGCCTGCGTCTGGCGTTTTTCCTTTTTACGTTTTTCTGGACTTGCTTCCACAAAATTCCCTCTCATGTTCTCCTTGCTCGACCTCGACCGACTTTTGTTGATTGATAACAATGGTACTACTACTACTTTCCTTGTTGTTGAAAACTGATGTCATGGTATGACATTATACTGTACTAGATGTTGATCTTGCACGATCGGAGTTATATCTCTTTTCCTTGGATTTTGGGGGTCGATAGGAATGGAAGAGTGTACCTTGCCGTGTATATGATGGATATCTCGAAAAGGCCCGGAGGATGGGCATATGAAGAGATATTGCATTGTATTTTGGTGTGGGCATCGTTTGGATTGGATATAATGCTTAAATTCTGGGGAGCGTTGATGTGTTGTTGGGTGGTTGTTGGGGAGGCGAAGGAAAGAAAGGGGGTAGGAAATTGGTGAGGGACAATGTAATGTAATGCAATGGGCGTTGCTATACTGTCTGTCATGTTGCGATATTGTATTGTGGTAGTATAAACTCGAGTAGTAGTGATGAGAAATCTTTTCGTAGTAGCTGTTTTGTTGTGTGTGTGTGTGTGTGTGTGTGTGGTGAAGGTGGTGATGAATAAAAATCGTTGTTGTGAAAGATATACTTTGTTTTGTGTATCTCTGTTTGTTGATTGGGGATTAGTATTGTGTTGTGCTTACAATATATGATTACTCGAGTATATACTAATAATATGTATGTATGTATGTATGTGTATATGTGTATATGTGTATATGCGTGTATGTCTGAAATGAAACGAAATGAAATGAAATGGTCAGATAGAGGTTGAGGTTAGGATGATAGTATGGGTATGGGTATGGGTATGGGTATGGTATGGTATGGTATGGTGTATTACTGGGATTATTGGAATTACTGGGGTTACTTTATTGGATCGGTTTGAATGTGTTCTATTGTGTGTGTTGTATTGTTGTATGTGTTCTCTGGGTTGTATGTGTTGTGTTCTCTGGTTGTTGTGGTTTTGGTGTGGTTTTGGTGTAGAGGGGGATATTGGGGAGATATTAGAGTAGAGAGATATTAGAAGATGTTGGGAAGGAGAGAGGAGGAGAGGAGAGGGGATGGGATGGGAGGTTAGAGTTCTAATTGAGATGGTGTGTGTGTGTGTAGGTGTGGGTATGTGCGTGAAGATGGAGATGGATATGGAGGGAACTTGAAAGGGAGAAATTGATGGCTTTGATTTTTATTATATTATATTAGTCTTGATATCGAAATCAATGACCATGACAATATCAATATCGATATCGATATTTAATAATAAACAATAAACATAAAGAGGAAGAAAGAAAGTAAGATCGGAATGGATTATCGGTTCTTGATGGGATGGATATGAGATAGTCGTGTCATCTCCCTCTTTTGTTGACTTTGCCCTCCCTGTGATTATTGATGGTATGAGAGAGGGGGAGAGGGGGAGAGAGGGGGAAGTAAGTGCTTTTCTCGGGTTTGGTCTTGGGGTTCTTGTTCGTATTGTGTATTGTCGGTTGGTATTGGGTGTGTGCATGCGAGGAGAGGACTGAAATGAATGGAGTTGTTGTGTTACTGAGCAGGTACTGTTTTGCTCAAGGTTTGGATATTTGTCTGGTGGGTTTTTAAAGGGGGGCTTGTACGGAGATTCTCCAATTATGATACTCGTCTTTTCTCAAGAGCTTCAAATACCAGTATACAGACAGGACCATGTAGTTTGACTGCTACTAACAGAAAGAACAACAGAAGGGATATCTCCACCGCCAACAAGTATATCAAAACTAAACCGCCTGATTAATTCCCGCGACCCCAAGCAAACCACCCAGCGATTCCACCCTAAACTTTCTCTTCTTCAATCCCCCAAGCACCAACTCTATCTCGGCCGCAGAATACGATCTCCTATCATGCATGATGATGATACCTCCCGGTCTCGCCATACTCAAAATATGCCTCGCGTTAATCCTCGCATGATGTATTTGCGGATCATGGGGATAGATACTCCCCAACACAACACGATATCCCAAACCCTTTGCCATCTCAAGCATTTGCGCATTAAAGAATCCCGATCCGGGACGGAAATATTTGGGAGGGATTTTGGAGCCCGTGATGGGTCGATTGATGGGGAGAAGATCTTCTACTTCTTGGATTTGGCGTTCTAGCTCGGATAAGGGGAGGGAGATGGAGGGTTCATCCGCCCATGCGTGGTTCCCTACTTCGTGACCTTCGTCGTGGATTCTTTGTATGATCTCTGGATGTGAGGAGATTTGGCTTCCTATGATGAAGAATGTGGCTTTGGCGTTGTAGATCTTGAGGAGATCTAAGATTCGGTCGGTTTCTTCAGATGGTGCATCGTCGATTGTTAAAGCGATGACGCGGTGTGATGTTGATAGGGGGAGATGAAATAATACGGAGGGATATTTCCATTGAAGGTAGTTGATGATGAATTGGGGTGGTTTATATATTATGTAGGCGAACAAAAGGACTAGGAAAAGGAGGCCTAGGAGGACGAGGAAAATCATCTTTATCATACTAAAAGATGAGCGATCCTGTTTTCGAGCTGGTAACTCGTAGAAATTCACGCCTCGTTCCTCGTCGTCTATTTTGACATGTTTGGTAGGGCCTGGTGTAGACCAAGAAGAGAAGCCAAGGCGCTGGACTCGGCGTATAAGAGCGCCTATGCTGAGACGCATTGGAGAATAAAGTGTCGATCGTGCGTCTCAATCATGCTTGGATGTGGATGTGTTGATTTGTAGGGAATATGTTCCCTGATCTGATGGGATAGGAGAGAATAATCGAGGGGAAGGGGGGTCATGTTAGGAGGAGGAGGATTATCTAATGTGGCTGAAATAGACTTTTAATTTGATAAGGCTAGCTGCATTTCTACCTCATATACTTTTGTAACCTAGCCACAAGTGCTTATCGATCGCTTATCGAGCTACCGAGGCGACAATCTTTTTCATTTCGAAATTTGATGAAAGATACGATGATAATTGTTGGATTATGAGTAGAGAGATTTTGACATCTCTATATTATTGTCTGTATTAAAGTGTATACCTAGTCTGTCGTAACCTACCTCATCTAGTTAGTACAATATGAAAGGAAAAGGCTCGGTCCTTTAGCTTTTGATCAAAGATTCGGGCCTACCCGAGTTAATATCAGCAAGACGACAAGTACGTACATACTAATGCAATTAGATACTTCGTAAAGACAATCTATTATCTCATCATTCTGCTCTCTTGTCCTTTTGTATAGAGGAAGATTCTCCTCTTCGAAAGTCATATCTATTTGGTTTCTACTATGAATATTCACTCTGAATGAAGTTAAGGAAAACGTTTAAAAACACCTAGTAAATATTCTTGTGACTGGTGTGGCGTTGGGCGTTGGATTCGTGGGGAGATAGAGTACAGGGGTAGTGCAAGTACAATACGGTGTGAGATTTTCCAGCTATAGATACGATACGTAAATAATATGGCATAGCCTCGTCTTGATGCTTACGTGCAGTCCAATTACATTCAATAGTATTTTACCCATCTTTTGAAGAGACTCGGAATCTATCCACGTGTGATATTGGTATTCATGTTTCTTGGCTTCAAAGTGTCTTTACAAATGGGCTGTGTTGAGAAGAAAAGTGATTTATCATTCTTATCCATTCTACCCATCCTACAACTTTAAGAGATCTTGAAGGCGTCAAGCACTATCGGGCCATTCTCAGGTCTGTTATTGCGAAAAGCTTCCCATTCATGTCGAACTTTATCTGATTGATACCCAACAGATATATATTATCAAGGTGCGGTTCGCATCTAGAATTTCGTATGTACTGTGATCAGCAAAGTGTTGGACGGGGTCTTTCGATGTAATCCGGGAAAGCTTTATAATCATAAAAACTTGAGAATTCTTTGGAATCCCATCTTTACGAGAATTATCTTCCGAAAGATATCAAAAAACATTTATCCACCAAGTTCGCCGCCGGGTCGTGACATTTTTGTCACGAAGGAGTTTTTAACATGGCAGCAGTGGATCTTGACACCAATAAAATCAAGGATTGGCGATCCATAGTCACGCTCATCATTTTCGTTATAACTAGTAAGTTCAGAACATTTTTCGAACACCCCCAGTTCTCTTGCGATTAGCTCTTGTTGAATTATTTAGATATCATTGTTCTTTTTCCCTTCCACATTTCGATATATGTTCCCCGAACACTGTCAAATAATTTTCTGGATACCCTAAGTCATTTGCGATTGATATCACCAAGAAATGACGACTATCACAATCAGCATGGCCCTCAAGATGACCGAAGTGGAAAAGTCACGCGTTTGGTGAAACTGAACTTCCCCCTGAATTTTGTCACGGCACCTTTGATCGCAGATCTTTTTCTCCTCGCCATCCTGGCCATAGGTCGAGAAGAAGTGCACGATGGGACGGTTGGGGCAAACAGTATCAACCCGATTGATATCATGGTGTTTTTCATCACATTAGCATACATTGCTATTTCGATCGATGCTTCCGGTCTCATCAGATTCTTGGCATTCAAGGTACTTCAAAAGGGAGGCAAAGTTGGACACAGACTGTTCTTCTTTCTCTACGCATTCTTCTTCTGCTTGGGAACTTTCATCGGAAATGATCCCATTATCCTGTCTGGGACCGCATTTCTTGCCTACTTGACTCGAGTATCGAGTAACATTATACATCCAAGAGCATGGATTTTCACACAATTCGCAATCGCCAATATTGCCTCGGCCATCCTCGTCTCCTCTAATCCGACCAATCTTGTCCTAGCTGGTGCCTTCGGGATTAAGTTCATCGCATATACCGCGAACATGATCGTTCCAGTAGTTGTGACAGCAATTGTCTTATTCCCGTTCTTACTATATATCGTCTTCGCCGACGAGGCTCTCATTCCATTTTCAATCAAGATGCACGAGCTCTCCGAGGAAGCTAAAGCTAAGAAACCCGTGAATCCGAATATCCCTAATGCTAAAGGAAACTCCGGCGAGGAACAAGAGAATGAGCTTGCAGAGAATAAACAGCTTTCTCTCGAAGAAATTATGAATCCTTTCGTGGATAGAAAGGGAGCAGCTTTTGGGGCCATCCTCATGACTGTAACACTCATTACGGTCCTGGTACTGAATGCTGTTAGCCAGAGTAAAGGCGAACATCCAGTATTTTGGGTGACTCTGCCAGCCGCATTTGTGATGTTTGTTTGGGACATCTCACTCGGATGGATCAATCGGCACGAAACACGCGAAATTGCTCGCAAGGGACGACACGAAGTTGAACTTGCCCGAGCCGAGCGAGCGATAAGAGAGGAGCAGGAAACGGATCAAGTAGTTTTAGGACAAAAGCAGCGAGGTACCAAAACCACGAATGGAGCGCTAACAAAATCGCCGGAAGAAGTCGAAATGAAGAGCCTGGAAGGTCAATATGGCATTGTTACAGAGAATAGTCGTGCCCCTACACTTCTGGTCCCCGAGAATTTTGATGGACAAAGCCAAAAATTAAGTGATCGCTTGGACTCATCTATCTCGACACTCGTCCCCAAGGATGACAATTTACAGAACAGTCGCTCTTCTACCAGCGCAATGAGTATCCTTGATGAAAAGAAAGAGTCAATTCGCGCAGAATCTCCTTCTCCATCACAAGGCGTATTAAGCCCAAGATTAAGTGGTCAAGCGGAGACGAACAAACGAGTAGCCTCCGAGCAAGTTTCCCGCAAAGTCGAGCTTCGAACGCAGCGCGGACGCCCAACATTAGTTTCGCTTTTCGAGGATACATATCTATGGTCCCAAGAAACGTTCCCCACTGTCACAGCAGTCGTATCCCATCTCCCTTTTGCCCTCGTTCCATTTGCTTTTTCAATGTTCGTTCTCGTACAAGCATTAGTGACCAAAGGCTGGGTCCCAGTATTTGCTTATGGCTGGGATCACTGGGTCAATAAGACGGGTACGGTTGGAGCTATTGGTGGTATGGGATTTCTATCCTGTATCCTCTGCAACGTGAGTTTCTCCCCCTAAACCTCAGTACTCCCACCAAGATCTAATCCCACTTCCCACCATAGTTTGCAGGCACCAACATCGGCACTACGATCCTTCTCTGCCGCGTAATTCAAGCATGGCAAGACATCCACCACAACAACGGACTCCCCATCAGCGACCGCGTCTTTTGGGGCACCGTATATTCCATGGCCATCGGTGTGAATTACGGGGCGTTTAGTACGGCGTTTAGTGCATCGCTGGCAGGTCTGCTGTGGAGGGATATTCTGGGCAGAAAACATATTCATGTGCGCAGGCTGGATTTTGCAAGGGTTAATTTGCCAATTATAGCGATTTCTATGGCGGTGGGGTGTGCGGTGCTCGTGGGGCAAATTTATGTGGTTAGGACTAATGATCCTTATGATGCGTGAGGGGTGAGATTTCGCGGGTTCGGGTTGGGGTTGGGGTTGAGGAGGGGGGAGTCGATAGAAGTTTTCTTATATATTATGACGAGAATTAGATTTACATATTTCGCAGATTTCATCGCTAATTCCCGCTTAGGAGGGATGGGGAAATATATCTTTAGGGGCACTCATTCATAGTCGATTTTGAGTGTTTTGTCGGAGTGTTTGTGAATTGACACTGTTTGAGGTCCCGTGACTGACATACAGCACAGCACCTAAAACTTGTCACAGTCAAAAATGAGGCCTCTCTCACACCCTACCTGCCTTCTTCCCCTATCTATCCTCTCTTCTCTTGGCTACTTGCATCTTACTCGAGTACGTACGTACTCATTACATCCTACAAATTTGGATACCGGTAGTTGTGGACTAGTTTCCTTTCCTCTATACTCGTAAATCAACTACTTGAGTATTCAGTGTATTCTACAGCTCGCAGAAATACACTTTATTTGGGGAGTGGAACTACCGATCTTCTTAATTTAACTTCTTTGATCACTGACATGTTCAAGAAGTTAAGACGATGTGAATGGAGGAAGGGTTTGTGTATACAGGGAATGCGCATTAGGTTTTATTCATGGGAATTGGTAAATGTGTAAATTATAGTGTCTAATGTATCAATATCTCTCCATTCCATGATAACCGATAATCGGTCCTTATAATTGAGTTTTTATTGGGAATTAATTTTATAATTGGTAACTGTTGGAACATTCTTGAGATTCTGGGCATGTACGAACGAGTGTGCATACTAGTAAGAAGATTGAGACCACGAGAATATCGTGATAGTGCCAGTGAAATTATCCACGATTTATCTTGTATACCGGATAAAGCGGATGAATCAGATAAATAAATTAGTAGATGGGATAGCGAAGTTCTGCAAGAAGAAGAGGTGGGGAATAGATGGAAGATTGAAGGTGGAAGGTGGAATATTGGGTGAGGAGTCACGGTCTGGTGTCATTGGGAACTGGTTCTTGGTTCTTGTTTAATTTTGATAATGAATGAGGACTCTCGCAGTACCAGGTATAACTTGTTTTAAATTACCTTTAACCTTTTAAAATTATTTCATAAAAAGAGGTGGGAATGTTGAGAAGAGATGTAGTCAGAATCTCACTCGAGTATATTCTTATGGTTCACATCTCTCTGGTAGTAGTGTAGTTGGGTTAAACAAGACAAGATAAGATGCTTTGATGATGATAAATTGAAGCAAATACTTTGTACTCGTATATTATTGAATTTTCTTAAAATCAATCGGTGAATTGGGATTTGATGTGTTTGACTTCATGGCTATGGTTGTCGTTACTGAATATTGAATATCGAATTCATGGTTGAAAAATTTGGGGATTATCGTTTAGAAATGATAACCCTTTCTCAATACAATCACCATCTCATCCCATCACCATGAGTTGCGTATATGATAGCCTATTCCCAAATAGTTTTATATCATCTATCGTCCAATATTCTTGGCATATACAAAATGTACTTTTGGCTTTTTCCACCCTCGACAGATCTCCCAGCGACGGAAGAGTCGTCCCAGCGCTGCCAAGGGATAAACCCCTCTATCATCCAATTGTGGAAATCTCAACCTACTCTCACCATCACCTCCGTTCGCCTTCCCATGCACACCCTCCAACCTTCTCGCCACTCTCTCTTCCACATCCACCACCTCAAACGATACTTCTCCAAACCCCTCCTTCACATCCCCCTTCACATCCCCTTCCACATCAAGCACAAAGTAAACCTCCTCCAAATGGTCGAACAAATATAATACACACACTAACCCATACCAACCACTCTGGAACCTCTTCTTCCAATGTCCATCCTCCTCCTCATAATCCAACACCGTATAATCCAACGCCACTTTCCTCACATTCTCATAGCCCTGTATTCGATTATGTGTACTACCCGCCCACAATTTCTTCACCGTCGGAATCCCCTTGAACCAAAAGATATCCGTCTCCCAATCCCGTAAGTTACTTCCAGAGAAAGCGATAAGAGACGGTGAATGTAAACTCAAAGATGAGGAGCTCGAATGTGAAACTTGATCTTGAGTGCGGAGATGGATGTGTCGGAGTGTTTCTAACCAGCTAAATTGTTGGTAGATAGAGCGGGATTCGTGAGATATATAAAGCGTAGGGTGGAGATGGGGCGAGCGGAATAGGATTGAAGGCCAGGGGTTTGAAGCTGTGGGATCGGGGCTTGGAGCTGGGATGAGAATGCGAGGGAAAGATATATAGATGGTCCATATTAGAGTGCGGATTTCGGATGGAAATTGGGAGAATAGGTGAAATGTTGAGGTTGACGCGATGGAGGGTTTGGATTGAGAAGTTTTGGGGGGAGCGTTTGAGAGGAGTTTGGAGAGTTGTCGGCGATGAGATGGTGAGAAGAGGGCCTTGATGTATGTTATTGATTTGTGACTGAGGCTTGTGAAGGCATGGTCCCTTTGTTCGGAATGTGATGATGGCATTCTGATTATTGCAATTAGATATTGGCTGTGAAGGTAACAAGTACTTGTCAGTTGTGGGTAAGGTATGATGATATTGATCGGGTTGCTTGTTTAGAACTTCGACAAGGAATTCAAATCTTAGATCGTGCAGTTCATAAAATACTAAAGATATTTAAACTTATTATCTAGCTCTGCCTAGATGTTGAACTTGTACTTGTCAAAGCCCTCGTTTGTCTAATATGAAGCAGTGAGATGTCTTGTGAGAGGAAAGCCAGATGGAGTTTGGTATCAGCATTCCCATGCAACCTATATGTACAGGACATCTAGAACTCCTGTTTGTTTGCATCACCCTTTCTTCAGGCCAATTTTCAACGTGGAATATGGATAGATGCATAGAATAGTAAGCGCTAATGTCAACATTTTCAGGGTTTCCCATACTAGACCTCTCAGAGCCTTTACATTTGATCCACTATTAGAAGGAGATGCATGTAAGACATATGGAAAACACGTGGCATCCATGTATCACTTGCCTTTTGGGATTCAAACGCTCTTGCGGTGAACTGTTCGGCATTGGATTTCGTTCGTCGAGGTAAGCTAGCTCAGTCAAATAGAATATTTATCGGCTGTATAAAACTGCAATATCTCGTCTTACGTGTCTGACAGTACGGATGCTATGCATCCAACACGTTTTTTCTCCTGCCCGATTCACTGCATATTTGTGCACCTGCAGTAAGGCTCATTCCTATCTTCTAAGGCAGGTTAGTCCACATTTGTAATGTTGTGAAATTGTGTGACAGTGGAGGAAAGTAGGCGTGGTGTTACTCTAATGGCGGGAAAAGGTATGGGTCACAAATGAGCATGGACTATGATGCAAGTATGGGAGGACAACAGCAACCTCATAATGTGTATGTCTAGTCTTGTTAGATTGTTCGCAACTATCGAAAAGAATATATCTGATTTGTAGGGATATAGGCCGAAATTGACATAGCCGAACTCCCAATTTAAAGTGTTGCACCCTAATTCAAAATCGCATGCCTAGAGCCAGATTGCGAGCCTAACCCACTCAACTAGCAGCCAGCACATAATAAATGCTCAGGAGGTGGTGATTATATGGTCTCAACCAAAAGGCTATCAGAATCCGTATCCATCTGAGGGCTAGGTCTTTCACTAAATGATCAAATATTGATGATGGTGGTGGAATTTCAGTTTTAATCCAAGGTACTTTCGTTTATGTCCTTGAAAAAGTGGAAATGTTTCACTTGGCACTTTCACCACCAGTCTTTACCAAATGTCAATCTCCCATTCAGGGTCTATGAGCAAGTCCTGGGTGGTGTGAAAAGAATGTCTAGCACACTTGATGCTAAACATAGATGACCCAACACCACGCAGACATGTAGGTTAAGTTCGTAGTAAAGCCAAGGCATTCTTACAAGCAATACAAGGCAGATAGTGGCATAGTTGAAATCCCCCAATGGTACATCAAAGACGAAATCGAACGAGATGGAGTAGTTGTGCAGATGCTTTAGACCTCGAGAAAGAGATGTGATGCATCTACGAATCCTGCAAACCCCCGTCGACCTATAGATGTAGGATTTACAGTCAAACTTTCTCCAGCCAATAGATGATGAAGCTGAGATTGCGATGTCCCCCAAAACTGTATGTAATCATACATGGATCGATGGCTTCAGATTCTGATCCGAATAAACTGGTGGTTGATGATGGAGTTTGTGATTTCTGAAGGAGAGACAGCATCGGCTAGGGCGCTAAGTTTGTGCTGAACTTCAAAAGCCTGAGGGTATGCAGATATTTTTCTGGCGAGATGAATAAGTTCTTCAGCAGCTGTCTCTATCTCTTGATACCAATCCAGGCTTGAATCAAGACGGCTAATAAACCTACCGGTATCATTTCTCCCGGAGTAAAAGTAGGAAGAAGTAGGATATCGTCACAGAAGTGAGCTTATCGTGTTTGATAGAGCCCGCCTTTAATATTATACTTCGCGAATTGATGCTCGAAGTATCTCTGAGGTGAGGTTATGGGAAGAAGATTTCCGATATCGATGGTTCTATATCACGTGATCTTATGCGCTTAAACACCACATCACACATTCACGTGACTCTGTACGGGCGGGGTTCTGATGATAGACGTGGCTCTGATGTCTATTTTAGATACAAATTTCCTCATCGTCTGTCCATTACGCATAGACACGGTAACCTTAACCTTATCTGCCCCCCGACTTTCAATTTTCGACGTTGCCTATTATTCCACATAACAAGCAGGATTTACATTCTTTTCCTTTCACCATTACCTATCAAACAGACACTGATACATAAGGTTACTCTTTTCTGCATACCTGCCAATATTAACGACTTCCTCCGTAGGTAGCAATCTGATCGAACAATCCCGCCTCGAGCCTTCAAGAAACCTACCATAATCAGACTTCGACTATCCTTATCATATCTGCCTACGTTTCAGGAGGAGAGGATACGCATCCTCTATCACTTTTAGATCACTAGCACCCGACTTGCATAGAAGAGACCAATCCTGAAACGTGACATAGATTTCAGCTTGCCGCAATGCCTGAGGTGAGATCGCTTTTACCCAATCCCCCATTGTACCACTTCTAATGCGATACGCAGGCAGAACAAACGAACAACGGGGACTACGAATACATCGAAGAGCATACTTGGGGGATAGTTGATTATGATAGATATATGTCATGGAAGGCTGGAGATGGCAAAATAATATTTAATTGGTTGAATATACTCAACGCGCGCACGACTGAAAGGAAAGTGTTCCTTCGTGCAGGGCGGGAGGTGACAGTAAAGAGGACGGTATTTAAATTGGTAAAGGCTGTTATTGTAAAATTGGAGGATGTTGAAGTAAAAGTGGAGGATGTTGTTGTTAAATCGGAGGATGTTAAGGTAAAATTGGAGGCGGAGGAAATACTTTTCGACAAAGGTCCCATCCCATCCTAGAACACAACATCGCCACCAGCTTATAATCACTACTATTATCCCTCTCGGACAAAGATATCTGCATCCACTTCCTCTGTTGATCATTCATCCGATTGCCACTGTCAATAGTGTCGAAAAGATAGTTACCAAGTATGCATCTCAAGTCTTCTGCCGAACTTGACATTGCTTGTGAAATAGCTTTCCCACTCGCTGAACATACCCAGATCTCTAACTTCCAATCCCCGTCTTCGCGAGAAGGATGCAAACATAGAGTCTCGGTGTATGAAATACATCGGCTCTCCTTCTCCAACTGTCTCATACAGCTTGCATTCATACCTCTGAAAAGTTGAGCTCCAAGAACCAACTCGAGCTTGCACACCTCAGGCAAGGCCATGGTCATTTTGAAGGGTATAGCCTCCCTAGCACCCTTCAATTGAAGTGCTCCGTCCCTCGTGGTAGACTCCCAAGTTACTCGTTCTTGGTTATGTGTGATGCCATCCGCTTCTCCTTGATTATGCGCAGGTCCACTTGCTGGACGGGAGAGCGATTCGCAACTTGACATTGGATCAACCCACCGCCGTCCGCTGCTTTCCATTTCGGGTTGTCCGTCGATAGTAATATCCCTTCGACAACCATCATTAAACACTTCTTCGGAGGCGATCGCAATTGATGGACTTTCAATTGACGCGATATGCTTAGACCCCACAACATCATCTGCTGCACTCCGTAGTGTATTTGAGGAGTTGAGGTTACTTTTGGAAGTGGACGAATCGGCGCTGATTGCAGGCTCGCGAACATCAGTATTGAATGCGGCCCAAGCAGGTAGTTCGGAGTTGAGAGTTCGATTGCTCGGGGGGTTGGCTGCAAGTTGATCGCATAGCTCTGCTCTGCTTTGACAATTCACCGTCATGTCAGCTTTCTCGCCATGACAAGGCCGCTTGGTCGCCGGTTCGGTTATCGAATTGCGACGGTCACGGCTTGTCTTCTGCGGTCGCTGGATCTGATGGCCGCTCTCGGCGATCCAAGACGTTGAGGCATCTGAAAAATTAGTAAATGAACCATTCGAAAACAGGTAGACACCACTGACCGTTCATCAAATGGCGAACAATCTTTTCGGCTAGTTGCTCGTAGGTCTTGCCCAATGCAACGACACCAGCTTGATCCAGATGGCTCATGGCATGTTCAAAGAGGGCACCATTTTTTGGAAGCCATTTCTCCCATCTATATCATCATGAGCATTTCACTAACGAAGATTGAGCAGGTAATTCTTACACTAGACGCCCTATATCCTGCCCAAGAAGAAACAAACTCCCGATACCCAATCTCGTTACGATATTTTCATACCTTAAGCCTGCCAGTATCAGACTTTCGACTTTGTCGGTGAGGGGACCTATGGTCTGTGTCGATTCCGATGCAGATTCGCGATGAAGAGCAGTAAATAACGACTGCGCAATGACTTTGGCATTGTCATTGACATTATGTGTAACTCGAAGTCGAGCGAGCGCCAGAGAATAGAATCTCCAAAGTATGCACGAGTGCGCATCTGAGAATCCAAGCTGTAAGTAAGAAAATATGATTGTATATTGGGGATTGTTAGATTTGTCGTGTTCCTGTCTTTGAGAGTGTATCCAGAATGATGCCGGATTCTCGTTCCATCTCTGGATATTGTCCTGGAGAAGAGTTGTCGTATTGTGTTCATCAAGTTTATACTCATATATCTTTGCCGTTCGTGAAGTGACTTCTCTTGAAATTTGCTTCTTCTTCAATATGAAGGAAAGCCGAGGTTGTAGTTGTTTATTCGATTGTACATAGTCATGTAGAAGTGACAATATTGTTTCGATACAGTCAGGGTCAACGGGTTCCACGTTATGTGTTGGCCCTTCCGTCACTCGCCGAAGTTCTGAGCATATACACATGGTGAGATGGACGAAATAGAGAAACTTTGCGTACTTTGTCTTTGAAAACAGCGAAACCTGAGATTGATACTTTGTTTGGTGTTTGTTCGAATGCTTGTCGAATCTTTCCATGGGGATCTGCGGGGATCGTGATGTTTGTCAATACTGGAATATTAAGCTAGCCATTCATTCAATATTATGCACGATTGATGTGGGTACAGGGATGGAACGCAGCTTCATGGGACAGTGAGCCTGTAATTCTTGCTAGGGTGGTTGTTGTTCCCGTGTCCAGACTGGGGGTTGGCGTCATGCCGGCTAAAAGATGCGGATCAGAGTAAGTATGAACAAATGAAAGTGGAAATGATTGACAAACTTCAATGCACATACATATTTGTGATGGGCTTTGCCTTGAGGTCACCAACATTCTGCGCTTGCGCTCCTTCCAATGGACATAATGAATTGAATTTAAGGAGGTGCGCAACAAATAGAGTAATGGGTAATCACGTAAATATGCGGAAAGGGAGCTAGCTCGATATTTGAGCTGTCATTTATCGCTGCATGAGACCATATATCTTAAATGACATACATATTGATACATGAATATGAGGGGGAAAGATTGCCAGAAGGGAAAATGTAGATGATACTGTTCATCAAGTTTATGAATATATATCTCCCTTGCTTAGTAGTCTTTCGTCCGAAAATGTTTTCAGACAGTTCAAAGCATGCTTTTCCAACTGCTAACCCTAGTTTCCAAGAGCATATGTAATGTGCCATATATACCGCGAGATGTTTTGGAACTGTGAATGTCCTTCTAAGATTAGAATTTCTTGGTGTGACAACTATCCAAACTGTAAAAAGTAAAAATCACATGTAGTAGCAGAGGAATCTTGTCCTTATCACTCTTCAAGCACTGAAAGTAGTGTGGCAATTTTATCTTGACGGTTATTCGTAAGTCATTCTCGAAAAGGAACAACATGCCAAGACTGATCTTGCAGAACAGAAGAACCAAACAAGGCTTCCAAACGAACGATCTATACAGTTTACCACTCTCTATCTCCCGTTCCTCGTCCTCCTTCTATTATCTACTACCCATTCACTCTTCCACACTACTAAAACTTATTTCTTTCCTTCCACTTCACCTCATCCTCTCCAAGAATGTCTCGGGCAATCGCCGTATATAAACGTATGTGCTACATCCCAACAGAAACTCGAGAAGTCTTAAACGGAGAAGAAGTAACCTTCACCTGGGCTTGCTTCAAGAGCCTTTTATTCACCGCCGGAAGTCAACTACATCGGTCTTCAGCACCTTTGATGTCTTCGTCATTCAAAATATGCCAGCAGCTCCAATATAGGATCAGAACATCCGATCTCCGTACTCCAGGACTTTCAAGTGATATGAGCTGGTTGTTCGAGCCTTCTAAGCCTATTTTCGTAGGAGAAAGGGCTGTTTGGGAGGCGCAAGATCTTATTGACCAAAGCAATACAACTTACTAGTATGTCCATGCCATCTCCACTATCACTAATCTAACTTTGCAAAGCATCACAGAAGTGAACTCAGCGAATACAGACGACCCTCGAAACCTCTCCTATGCTACCTGCACCGAACTACTACAAGCTCATATGACAAAGTCACAAGAGATCCTTCAAGAGAGAATAGCAACATTTAGCGAGATGGATGCACTGACAATCTGGGAGAACCAAGCTTTGGAGGACTGTGTCATCGAACGCAGCTACTACCTAACACACTGGCTTGGGGATAACTTGAGAGGTTTGATGAACGAGAGGGATTACGAACAAGGACCATCACAGTTCTCTGATCCGAGTTTGGCAGACCTAGGGCAGCTCTTTACGACAAACGAATATCGACAGTGCAAAAACGACTATACTTTTCAGACTGCTCTTGGCGACCTACAAATGATCATTCTTCGTTCATCCTCTGCGGTCTATGAGAATATGTTTCCGCCAGCCGGGCATGGTATACAGCAGGTAGAGAAATGGAGAGCTAGGTCCAATTGGTCTGGATCACCTTATCATGTTTACAAGGTACAAACAAAGCTGTTCTATCTGTGGTATGACAATTTCTGACATCTAGTGCTGTAGGAACCACATTTTATAGCCATGGAGACGACCACAAGTGTTTGAACATGGGATGTCTGAGGGACTATCGAATTCTTTGGGCTGAGGTGTGCCGGGATTATATTTTCAAGGGTAGAGGAGGGTTATAGCTTTGTACTTGGACTGGGGTGTGCTAGGATTGCGTTTCTAAGTGTAGAAACGAGTTATGGCGTTGCACTTGGACAAGGAACCAACTCTTGAAGTCAATGATCATCGAGTAGATTGTCTTTTGAAAGGATGTTCGGTAATTGAAAAGTAGTATCATTAGGTTGTTTCGTATTCAAACAAAAGTTTACTGGTAGTTATTGAAAACCTGGCGTTATGATATCAAAAGTCTATACGAGTAAATGTGGATTGGAAGTGAATGATTCAAACTTGAGATTTGACAAATTTGGCGGCAAGTACAAGAAGAATAAGCTAAAGCCCGAAGCGCTCGAAGAGTTGCTGGGCCTGGCGAGTTACATACGTGACTTATGGTAAATGAAAAGACAATTTTCTCTGCGGTCTGAGTGAGATATTAACTGTGACTTATTCTAGCGAAAAGTTAAGGAATGGTGAGAAAAGAAATCCCACTCATAGCCACACCGTGACATATCCATGATTTGGAATGGACCCCTCATTCAAGCGAAGTTGGATGAATGTTTCTCGTGCCATGATATTTCGGAGAAGAGTACATTGGGAATTACAAGCCTTTGAGGATGGGATATCTGAAGCTTCAGGTGAAGGATTACCGGCTTTGTTTGCCCTAGGGTGTGGTAGGTTTACGTTCCTATCTACCTATATACAGTAGTCTTCTTTTGCAGACGATTTGGGTAGAACTATGGCACATTCGCGAAGAGGTTTCGGAAATTTGGTGTTGCAACGGCCATTTCTCTGAGTCGTTTTCGTTGCTTATTGTACGGAGGACCCCGCATCGTAGCAGTGATTTGATAAGTATTTGCGAGATCAATGTTCTTCCTTCCAAGATTCACAATGTTAAATTATACAGTGACATTTTCACATATCAAATGCTCAAAATCTACCAAGACACTCGTTTCAGACAATCAAACCTAGAATATTACGTCTGGGTATTCCTTGAAAAGACTAAGTATAGTCGTAAAGGTTCATTCGATTACTCGAGTACATATTATCTATTCGAAGCTGGAAATCTGGTTGCGTTGTATACAACTAGCGACTCATTATCTTCTCTAGATTTGTGGATAGCGAATTATGATACTGTGTCACGGTCTCTAGTTCATAACTCTATATGGGTTACGAGATCTACCGTGACTGAAAAAGGGGGATTAGCCGAGATTCCGTGAATGTGTTACTATATTCCATAAATGAATTGTATTAGAGCTACATCTTCTATAATTTTAGCTATTGCCTTGACGACTTGCCCATAAAGCCGTGATAGTCTTGGGAGACGTGACACTCTTCGGCCACCACTAGTTTGTATGATCACATCAACTGATCCCTCAATGCCGATTACAGGAACTGAGCTAAATGACTCACTAGATTTCAGATACAAAAGATAACTCTTTTTCTACATCACAGCTTGCAGTTAGTGAACCAATTCATGTTGAGTGCGTCTAACCCGCCGTTTCACCATTGAAGAATTGCAACCAAGCATCTAATCAAAGCAATGAACCAATTCATTCAATCAGAAAAATAACAATAACTCAAATCTTCTTCAAAAGTCAATTCTAATGAAGGGGATAGCCATAGAAACCGTATATGCGGTATATGCGGTATATGAGTGGCTGTGATCAACTATTTGCACGGGTCGGGAGCACTGAGAAGAAGTAATCCAAACTTCGAGGATGTGTCTAGTATAATTATAATTAAACTTGAGAAAAACAGTATATATCTCTTATTGCTAGGCCCGAACAATAGATCGTCTCATATCATATTCATTAAAGGGTTCCCAAAATAGGTTTTGATCAGTTCTCACACAGAGATACATTTCGTAGCGTCTGTGGCTGGTGCGTGCTGTGGCTTTCCAAGCCATTAAGCCTCGCATCCCTTGTTGTAATATTGAAGACGACACCTCTCAGCACAACAACAATCCAACCGTACCAATTTACAATTACCAAATAGGTGTATCACTGAAATCGCATTGGCAAGATCTACTCCCCCAACCATTACAAGCGCAACATTCCCTTCCAAACATCTGCACGAATACGAAACGCACCGCTTTGCGCCCAAGAGCTACGCAAGCTCGAACCTCTCGAATATTAGAGGCAGACTTTATAGCTCACCAAACCTTCCAATTCGCAATCCAAAATGGCTCAGTACTTTCTGGACCTACTATATACCCTCACAAACTGCATGAGCTGTTTTCCGGGCTCTCCGCAGCTGAAGATCAATAATCGCAGTTTCAAGATCTTGCGGTTACTGGGCGAGGGCGGCTTCTCATATGTCTACCTCGTTCAAGATTCCAGTAGTGAAGCCAGGTACGTGTGATGGCAGAGGAGACAGAAATTAAAGTAAAAAAATGCTAACAAAATACTTTTAGCTACGCATTGAAGAAAATAAGATGCCCGTTTGGACAAGAATCCGTAGCTCAAGCTATGAAAGAAGTTGAAGCATATGCGCTCTTCTCACCACATCCGAATATAATTCAAAGTGTCGATTACTGTGTCTCGGCAGATCGATCGGATCCTGGGGCGAAGACCGTATACATCCTACTTCCATATTACAGACGAGGAAACTTGCAGGATATTATCAATGCGAACCTAGTCAATCATACGAAGTTTCCGGAAAAGAGATTGATGGTTTTGTTTTTGGGGGTTCTAAACGCCCTGAAAGCAATGCATAACTATAAGGTCAAGGGAGGCCCAGGAGGTGCGAATAGTCAGAATAAGGCGAAAAATGTAAGGGCGGATGCGGCGAGGGCAGATCAAGAGGCAGAAGACGAAGTGGCATCAAGGAGGGGAAGACAAAGAGACAGGGAGACCGATTCGGATAGTGAGCAGCAGGAACCACTTATGGATGGCGAAGTTACCATGAGCCAAGAGGGTATTGCGCCGGGAGGGGCTAGAGCATATGCGCACAGGGATATTAAACCAGGTAGGTTGCATCGAGATTGAAGTGCGCGAATCTATCTAATGCTAGAACAGGGAATATCATGATCGACGACGACGGCGTGCAGCCAATCCTCATGGATCTCGGATCGCTGGCTCCCTCACCCACGCCGATAACATCGCGGTCACTCGCCCTAGCAGTACAAGACCAAGCAGCGGAACACTCCACCATGCCCTACCGCGCCCCCGAACTATTCGACGTGAAAACCGGCAGTACGATAGACACGAAAGTCGACATCTGGTCACTCGGCTGTACATTGTACGCCTGTCTCGTTGGAAAATCACCCTTCGAGATGCGCAGCGATGAGACGGGAGGGAGTCTCAGCATTTGTGTACTCGGCGGAGATTGGCGGTTCCCCGACGAAGGCGCCGGTGGAAAAAAGAAGACTACGAACCAACCGGGGCAAAGTGAAGATAGTGGCATTAGCGAAAGTATCCGCGAGGTGGTGCGGAAATGCTTGAAGGTGGAACCTAGCGAAAGACCGGATGTGGAGGAATTGATGGAGATTGTTAGTGGAGTCATTGATGAATTACCTGAGGATGGTCCTTCATAATTATGATTGGGATAATGTGGGATGGCATAGGATAGGACATGGAGGGACTGGGTTCGGTCCTGATCGATTCAACTTGGTTGTGTACGATTTCTTTAGGATGAGAATGAGGACCGAGGACAGGTGTGAAACGAGGCGTTACAACGGAGGAAGCAGTGCTATCTACGTACAGCCAGCGATGAATAATGAAGAGTCGAAGGGGGTTTCAACTCACGAGCCTAAAAACCCAAAGTGTTCAGAGTATGAGGATATTTGCAATAGATATGTGTTTCCAGTGATTTATACATGTCTAGAATGGATGCATTCATTTCTTCCTGATACAAATTTCAGACTTGCCCCATCACAAAGTTTTGACCCAGTCTAGTAATCTTGGATACAGCTGTTGGAATTTCAGTTCGAATCTGAGCTTTGAATTGAATCACCTTTCAAGTCCGGACAGTATCGGACCTGGGATAATCTGTTGATTTGGAGCCAAAGTTTAAACACTGCATGCGAGTAAGCATTTGATCTTTGAGGATACAGAATGTGATCAGTGCGGAGCTATATATGCTAATATATTCGAGCAAGACTTCTAAAACTTAAGTCTTATATGACCGACAACTTGCATTGAAAATTGACAGTTCCTTTAGATGATGTCCAGGTCTCAGATTTTTGACAATGTCATCTTTACCTCCCCGAAGCCAATAAAGCACTATTTATGCCATTTGATCCCATTGTAAATCTGGACTAGCAAAAGACAAGTTATAGTTCATCATCATCTTCCTCGGACAGTTGAGATTCCAGGGTCTTTCTCTTTTTGTCTACTGTATTCATCTCAGCATCATTCATGCCAGCATCATCAGAGTCTCTTTTTCTATTTCTGCTTCCGAGCAGCCCAGCAGCCATTAATGCGTCTCCTACATCCGCGAAGCCACACCTGACTTCAACAAATCCGTCCTTGGTAACGCGAGAAGAGAATTTCTTCCTCAACTGCTTGAGTAGGGCGTCGCGATGTTGCTCGTCCAGCAGTCCTCCAATGAATCTTCCTATGAACACGAACTGAGGTTTTCCTAATTTGATAGACCCAACGTATTCTGCTGCATGGGTCAAGTAAGCTTCGATATTTTGACCCGGGGCTTGTGAAATGTTAGCCCAAGGTGGTCTACTAGCAACTTCGCGGGAGGTGGCTTTTTGTAATGGCTTGTCTGGCAACGATAGGATTTGTTCGTTCGCTGGAGTGGCTGCTAGTGGTGATGGTGGAGGGGGTAGACTCGTTTGGCTATCATGTGTGAGTGATGACATTCTTTGGTTTGTCTCGTGTCTATGCAGGGGATGGTGAACACGGTCTTGTAGTGTTGTATTAGATACTGGTGAGAGGTCTGAGGTAGATCGTGAAGTCGGTTCGGGCTGCTCGGCAGTGGATGTTGATGTATGCTGTTCGAGCGCTGGCACTTCGGCTTCTGCCTGAGAACATGCGATGGTAGATGTTAATTTTGGATGTTGTAGATCTTCGATAACCCGACGACCAAGACCAGGCGAGGCAATTACTGGTGGTAACGGAGATGGTCGTAGATCATTAGTATCGAGCCGATCATGAGTAGGAGCGGCAGATGCAGCGCGGGTACCTTTTTCTCGTCAGCATCATTTACAGCTGCATAGTCATCTCCACAAACCTGCTTCCATTAATTCTCCTAACTTCATCATTTTGCCCCACAAACCTTTCACCTCATCCTCCCATATTCGGTTCTTCTGCGTCAAGTCTCGGCACTCGATTTCAAGTATCTTTAACCGCTTTTCGGTTTCTTCCAGTTGCTTCTGAGATTCCTCAACTCTACGCTCTGCATCGGCAGATGACTTATCAACTTTGGTTCGCAATTCTTCGAAGAGACTCAATAAGGCAGAATGTTCCTTTCGGAACTGCAGATTGACTATGGCTTGAACGCCATTTGCAGTTCCTTGGCTCAAGCCAACGAGTTTGACAGGGGAGCTCAAAACCACCACCATCATAAAGATTTTAAGACGGACTTTTTGAAGTAAGTGGTGAGATGTGGCAAGCATGAGCCTAGCATGACATACAAGATACAAGATACAAATATGAAACCGTAGAAGATCAAAATGTAGATGAGGCTATGTTTATGAAAGGTGGAGAGGGTGAAGGTCGGAATTTGGGACATTTCACTCTAACTCGAATAAGCGAGCACGCCTGGGCTTATAATCGCGGAAAGAAGAAAAAATTAACATCGAAGGAAAGAGCGAATGTAATGTATAACCACAAAAGAGAAAGACAGGGAAGGGAGCCATCACTCAAACATCTTTTACCAGTTTTTATTTTATTTTTGTTTTCATTTTTGCCGTGATCTATGGAAAATTTTCTCAGCATCTATCTTCAATCGTACTACATTGCATGACCCAATCATGAGCCAAATGTAGGCAGATCTGAGTAGACAAGGAGCTCGTAAGACAGCCGGAAAGGGATCCCTAAATACAGAGACAGAAAAGCAAAGAAGCATCCCCCAAACCTCTAATGCCATGAAGTACGCAAGAAAAAATCGAGCTGCACGAACCAATGCAGCAGCTTTTGTGCTACCCATTGACCAAATCCTCACGCGCCGGGCGAACCAGCTGCGCTCCTCATCACTGCCCTTACAAAGGGGGTTCTGACACTGTGGTCTTTGTATAGACATACACGCCCAGAAACTCGTGATTTACCAAATTGTATATTAAAAAAAGGATAACTTAGATGAGATCAGCAACGTTCATTGGCATCTCCTCGATTTGAGTGCTGTAGAACTGCTCGATTTCTCTCATCATGCGAACATCCTCGGCGGTGACGAAGTTGATGGCAACACCCTTACGACCGAAACGTCCACCACGACCGATACGATGGATGTAGTTCTCACGGTTGGCTGGGAGATCGTAGTTGATGACCAATGAAACTTGTTGAACATCGATACCACGGGCCAAAAGATCAGTAGCGATCAAGACACGGGAAGAACCAGAACGGAACTCCTTCATGATCAAGTCACGTTGACCTTGGTCCATGTCACCGTGCATGGCGGAGACGGTGAAATCACGGGCAGTGAGTTTGTCGGTAAGCCAATCAACCTTTCTTCTGGTGTTGCAGAAGATGACTGCTTGTGTGATGGTGACGGTCTCGTACAAATCGGAAAGGGTGTCCAACTTCCAGTCTTCCTTCTCAACGGCAATGTAGAATTGCTTAATACCCTCAAGGGTAAGTTCGGCCTTCTTAACCAAGATACGGACAGGGTCACGCATGAACTTGGTGGTAACCTCGAGGACGTCTTGAGGCATGGTGGCAGAAAGGAGGACAACTTGAGTGGATTGGGGAAGGAGTTGGAAGATATCGTAGATTTGCTCGGTGAAACCACGCTTGAAAAATTGTTAGTGATATTGTTGTAGATAAAGCTGAATTACTGGACTTACGGAAAGCATCTCATCGGCCTCATCAAGAACGAACATCTTCATGGAGTCGGTCTTCAAGAATCGTCTTTGGATCATGTCGTGAACACGACCTGGGGTACCGACAACGACTTGGGGACCATCTTGGAGAGCCTTCATGTCATCACGAACACTGGTACCACCAATGCATGCGTGGCACTCAACGTTCATGAAGTCACCAATGGCGACAACGACCTTTTGAATTTGTTGAGCCAACTCACGGGTTGGTGCAAGGATCAAAGCCTGACATTGCTTGATGTTTGGGTCAAGCTTTTGGAGGACGGAGATGGAGAAAGTGGCGGTCTTTCCGGTACCAGATTGAGCCTGAGCAATGACGTCGTGACCTTTATGATTTGTTAGATAGGCTGGAAGATGTCGCAGATCTGGTTGACTCACCCTTGATGACTGGCATGATAGCACGCTGTTGGATAGCGGAAGGACGCTCGAAACCATAAGCGTAGACACCTGCATCTCCATGTTAAATTTTGTCCCTCCCAAAATATTTATATTTATCGTACCTCGGAGAAGCTCTGGCTTCAAGTTCATGGTATCGAAAGAATCGACGGTCTCGTCATAGTTGGACTCGATTTGTCCTACAAGCAAAAGGATGGTTAGTCTTCTATCGCTATCAAATTTTACCCCTCCCACAACGCGACCGCACAAAGATCTCCTTAAGAACATCGGAACAACTTACCCTCTTGGATCTCCTCGAGACCCTTATCTGGGGTAGCCATATTTGCGGGTTGTTTGAAGTAGAACCTAGATTACAAGCTGTGCTTGAAATCTAGAAATCGATAAAGTTGAAAGGTGGAGGTGGGGTGGAAAAATGCGCAAAGTTCTCTTGGAGAGACTGCGACGAGAAGGTATTTATTATTGAAGGTTTAAAACTAGACAACAACTCCCGAGAATGAGAGTTTTATGTATATCTAGAGTTTTGATTGTAGAGTTGTGTTGTTAAATTTCGAGTTGAAATAGGTAGGAGAAAAAGAGGGAAGAGGGCGAGGGCTAATGAAGTCCTAAAAAGTTTTTTTTGGGAATTGCTCGCTTAGTTATTTTTTTGTCCGCTACTTATTAGTGTAGAAGTTGGTAGTTTTGGTTTGTTGAATTTGACCCCACGCAATTGGGAACAAACGGTTCATTCTACAAGTACTATTGTATAGTATATATTTCATAGAAATTCTAACTTCTTTTAGTATTTCCCGGTTTAAATCTAGAGGTTACTGACCGATGAGAATCTTTTAAATAAGATGAGTCACGAAAGGTATCAAAAATCAGTTGTCTTAGTCTTAGTCTAATAAGCTGCTGAAGACCATGCCACTTTAGCCACTATAGCCACTATAGCCAGCCACACTAGCCACTCCAACGACTTTAGCAAGCCAAGCTTTATTACAACAAACCTCCGTCTACAGCGGGGGTTCTACTGCAGCCACTCCCCTAAAGGTACACCCCCCTCTTTCTTCATATTGCCCACGGACCACTGAGAGCACTGTGAAAAAAATACTTTCATCTCCATACATATCATTAGAAACCTCAACTTTTGATACACACTGTGTATCTACTACATTCTTCTTTAACTTTTTCCCATTGCATCTTTTTAAACTTTAAAGTCATATGAAATCAGCTATGAGTCTAGATTTTTCAACTCCTGTACAGCCTAGTGGCATTAGTGACATACCGATACTTGAGCCAGTAGAGTCATCAGAGTCATCCATTTCAATTCCACCTCATCCTTTAGGTGTCAAGCCATCAGGAAACCAATATACCGCCACCAGCAATTCACGTTACGCCATAGGGCATTTCCGGATCTTGCCGGATGAAGTATTGGCTATCTTACTAGAATCTTTGGATTCAGAATGGTTGGGTTTCCTTGGTTCAACTTGCAAATTTCTATATGCATTTTGTCGATCGGAAGAATTTTGGAAACCTCTATTCATTGAGTGAGTGCATTGTGAATATTTTGTTGTTTTTTTATTTTTGTTTATTTTATGTTACTCTAAATGGCAATTCTTTCGTTCGGCATTAATGAATATAGTCATTGTCGGGAAAGACAATATGAGTCAGTTCTTTGGGAGTCATTCCTTTGAGACTGGGGATTAGATATTATATTATGTTCCAGCGACCAGGTCTTTGTTTTCATATCTTAGGAGAGAAGGTAATGTTGAGCGCCAAAGAGAGGGTTTGAATAAGACTCAGGAGATTGGCCAGTTCTATAGAACATTCGGGGTTTTCTTAGATTTCCTATTGAAGCAATTACTGGTGGTTTCTAATTCTTATATGCAGTTTGGGTATTATTCGTCGATAGGAGTTGAATAGGATTGAAAAGCTTCAAAGATACGTCAAGTGATATTCTTCAAAATTCCAATATTTCCTCCAGAAGGGGAAACTTCATAGAGTACCTCGAATAAATATCAATTACCTTTAAACTCAGAATTTACATGCATATTTGTCATAAAAATTCACATGATGACTGCTAATCAAGATATCAGGTCTCCAACATCCAAGTCAGGTTCATTCAAGTGGCGAGGCTCCTGGCGCGCTACTTTTCTCAAAATAGAAGATAGCGATCTCTCCAAGATCCAATGTGATAATGTCTTCTCAGACGTATTATACCGACCGTTCCTCTGCACCCACACACCACTTGCACCGTACACAACAAACATTCCTCGACAGAACGAGATCGCCCGACTAGAAGACCTCACACAAGAAGAATTCAGCTCAACCTGGAGCGACAAACCTTTCATCCTAACCAAACCCGTGCGAGAATGGCCCGCCTACCATTCTTGGAACACGGAAGCTCTCCTCCAACAATACAGCGACACAAAATTCCGCGCCGAAGCCGTCGATTGGTCCCTCGAAACTTACATGCAATACATGAACAACAGCAACGATGAATCACCCCTCTACCTCTTCGACCGCGACTTCATCTCCAAGATGAACCTCCCTACCAGCAAAGACATCTCCACCCCTCCCTACCAAATCCCCTCCTGCTTCGGCGAGGACCTCTTCACAGTCCTCGGTCCCAACCGACCCGACGATAAATGGCTCATCGTCGGCCCCGCCCGCTCAGGCTCCACCTACCACAAAGATCCCAACGCAACCTCTGCCTGGAACGCCGTCCTCCGCGGTTCCAAATACTGGATCATGTTTCCATCCAACCCCTCATCTCCACCACCCCCAGGCGTCTTCGTCAGCGCCGATCAATCCGAAGTCACATCCCCCCTATCCATCGCCGAATGGCTGCTCGGTTTCCACGCGGAAGCGCGCCGCACCCCCGGTTGTGTCGAGGGTGTGTGTGCTGCGGGGGAAGTCCTGCATGTACCTAGTGGCTGGTGGCATTTAGTGGTTAATTTAGATGCCAGTATAGCTCTAACACAGAACTTTGTACCGCGCGCGCATCTAGTGGGCGTATTGTCTTTCCTGAAAGACAGAGCGGATCAGGTGTCGGGGTTCAAGAAGGAGGTGCGGGATCCATATGCGATGTTTGTCGAGGGCATGAAAAAAGAGCACCCCGAGCTGTTGGAGGAGGCGATGGCGGAGCTGGAGAGGAGAGCCGAGGGGAGGAAAAGAAAGTGGGATGTAGCTGTTGCGAATGGGGATGGGGATGGAGAGGCTGGAGGATTTAGTTTTGGATTCGGGGAGGATAGTGATGAGGAGATACCCTAGACGGAGGAGTGACAGGTGGTTCATACTTACTCATTTCCAAAATATAGAAATGTAAAAAATTGTATACCAGACCAAATTACTTCAATTTTCTAGCCAATTATTTTGATAGAAACCATATTGGTTCGGCACGAGTGCAATATATCCTCAACGCAATTAATTGAAAAAAGTTGTGAAATTCCTGTTATAAAATCTTCCTTTCATGATAAAACCCGTGATCCAGTCCATCCAGTTCATCCAGCTCTTGTAATCCATTTGCAAACCGACTTACTCCCCGAATCCGAAACCTGATGATTGCCAATATGGCCGCGGATTCCATTTGAGAAACTCCATAGATACATTTCTTCGTCGCCCAGCTTTTCCTCTTTTCCGATTTTGTTCATATACACCCTGTAGACCTTATTATACCCGATAGATATCCCGATAGATATCCCTATCCCTATCCCTGATTCCGATTTCTCCATCCCGCAAACGCAATTTGAACCCTAAATCCCAAAGTCCAACGACCTCTCTCCCCCCATCACCCATCACAAGAAGTCACGATAAACAATTCACAAACCACAACACTTCCAACCCACCTAACATGCATCCACTCATCCACTCATTTCCTCACAGCTCCAAAATTTGTCCTCGCCTTCTTATGCCCCATCATTTCCTTGGTATTCGATTCCGTCTCACTATCATCCGCCCCAGCCATCTTCTTATTCTTCTTACCCTTTCCCGAAGAAGCAGATGCAGGCGTCGCGTGATTCGAGGCGCTGTCCCCATTCGTCTTGTGGAACGTCATTGATAGAGGCGTGGGCGCCATGGCCGCTACTGGCGTCGATGCTCCGGATTGTGCTGGAGAATCCTGATTTAGATGTTCTGTTAGTATTTACTAAAACGCTGTCCCTAATTGTGTAGCTTCCGGGGCTTCATCCCGGCATGTGCATTCATGTGGTTCCATGTTTCAACATTCCATTCCCCATTTTATCTTCCTTCCTTTCTACCACAACCCAACCCAACAAAGAACCTTTCAAACAAGCCAAACACTCAACTCAACTCACCACATTCAATTTCCAACTATGCGAACTTCCACTAAACGGTCTATCCGTCCCCCCCACCGCCGCACTTTTCCTACCCGTCCCCGCACCCGCTCTCCCCACCCCTCCCACACCCGCACCCTTCGCATACCCATCAAACCCATTAATGATATTACCCTGGGGCGTCTCATCTAAATATTCCGTCTCCTTCCGAAAGATCGCATCTTCGTGCAGCGCCAAATGCCGCTCCAGATTCCTCTTCTGCTCCAATAATATCTTGAGCTGTTGCCGCGTTTTCTCGTAATAGGGAAGGCCCGCCGTCGGGTCTGCCGTGTGGTTTTCCTTCGAGTGGTTGCCGGTAGACGTGGGGATTTTGCTGGTTTCGGACATGCTGGGGCGGGGCAATTGCTGAATTGCCTGAGGGATTGGTTGGGTGTATAGCTGAATTGCGATTGTATATATGGTTTAGTCTAGTAAAGGAACAGAAGCTTGGGGGTAAGAATACGGGAATACGGGGTAGAAAGCTTGGTGCACGGGCTAAAAAGAGGCTTTTTGCTCTTATCTGCTTATCGAAGCTTGCGATAATCTAAAATTGGGGTTGTGTGAGTCTCTTAACTGGATCAATTTGTTCTAATAAGTTGGATGATGATTGCCAAGCTTTGCTGTGGTAGGGCTGAGGCTTAAAGTCAGGATAGTTCTACAGCTATAGAGCTCGAGGCCGGGATCAGAAGCTCAAGTATCTATGTGTAATTGAACAGGACTTGATAGTCTGAGTTGCTCAGCTACCCTATCTATCAAATCAAGAATGTGATCAGGAATTGTGTAAATTTCTATTATAATATGGCATGCGAGGTTGGTTTGGTTGCTGGGCATGAATTGATTGTAAAACTAGATTGTGGTATCGTGTCACATTGTGCAGATGAGAATCCAATCTTGTAAATATATTTCATTTACCACATATTCCCTAGTGCGCTGGTCCTGCGTATGCCTAAATCGATTGATATGTTCCTCAACGAGCGTTAGCATGAGATATTGAATGTTCGGTGGTGCTCGAAGCTCTCATCTTCTTGATCTTTTCCCTCATCAATTTTTCTCGTAATTCGGTGGCCAATTTCTGCGGATCTTTTCTCAAATTCTGATGTCAAAAAGACGGGTCAGCGAGATAATGAACGTGGACTTAGGCTATTCTTCGAAAACAAAAGAAACTCTCCCCTTGCCTTATGAATCAATACCCACCTCTGTAGGTTCGGCAGATCCAGCTGATTTAGCGGCTTCGACTTCTCGGTTTGGCGAACCCCTATCGCTTTTTTCTTCAGTATCAGCCCTTTGGTCTCTTGCATCCTCTACACCTGAAGAACTATTTCTTCTTCTTCGGTTTGCGGGTTCATATCTTTGCATAGAACGGCGTCTCTTCCCATTATCAATCCTTCCGTCGCGACTTTCATCCTTGACAGGACTCCTACTACTTCTAGCAGGGGGAGAAGCACTTCGGCTAATGCTCCGCGTTAGTCGCCTCTGATCGCGACTACCTCGTCTATCATTTCTGACAGGAGTTGGGGATAAAGTAGTTCTCTTCCGTGGAGCTGGGCTACGGCTTAGTGAGGCAGAAGTGGATCGAGACCTAGATCTAGAACTTGTGTTGCGACGATTGTATCTGCGAGACTTCGGCGGTGGGGAACGACTTAAAGATTCAGTTGAAGCTCTTCTCCGCTTTCGAGGCGGAGAGCGGGATTTCGAAGGTGAAGGGGATCTACGGCGAGGTCTTCTTTCTGGGCTTCTCGCGCGTCCCCTGCCACCTCTCCCACGGTTGCGTCTATCTGGCGATCTGGACCTCCGTCTACGAGGTGACGGTGACCGAGATTCTGAAGCTGACCGGCTGCGTCGTCTTGATGGAGATCGTGATGCAGACTTTGATCTTGAAGGTGACCTAGAGCGTGATGAAGATGGTCTTCGTCTTTCGTCCCGTCTACCACGCCCTGCGGGAACGTAAGTATCGAATTCTCTTCGAGGCGGCGGACCATAATCTCTATTGTTTCGGCCTCCACGTGGTGACCTCGAATATCTTGGACCTCTTCGATCAAATCCTCTGCCGCCATTTCGATCAAAATCTCGATCCCCGCGACCACCGCGCCAGCTATCTCCTCCTCGCCCACGTCCGCCGCGATCGCCTCGTTCACGATTTCTTATTGCATGCATTTCGCGGTCTCTCCGTTCACCATCTTCGCGGCGTTGACGTGCCTCATCTGCAGCCTGCTCAGCTTGTATCTAGCTGCATGTTAGTCAGTATACTCCAAGTCTTAAACTATTTGTACCTTTTCTTGTATGAGTTCCAACTTCTTCGCCTCAAGAAGTTCCTTGGGAACACCTTGAGGATTGGTCTGCGCACTCAAACAAAGCTTCCATAACTCCTTGCAAAAAGCCGGGGTATCTTTATCGAGAAAACCGGTGAGTTGTATTTGTAATTTTTTGATATCTGGCTGCAGTAAACGTTAGCTTTGCATATTTAATACTTGAGATGATACCTACATAGCGAGAACCCTCGATTAAATTGAAGCACAGTTCAATTACGACATCATCTTCAGTTCCCAATATATCTGATATCTTTCCAGCGATCCACCTGCGTTGCACATAGAGTCAGCTTGTCGTTCACTTGATGTGGTAACTCCAAGCTCATTTGAACGTACTTTTTCATTACCTCCAAATTAACCTTCTGGAAGTCGACTTTCTGGTTGAATTCGAGTGGAAATTTGGTTGACTTCAGCAGTTTCGCATCAACGGACGTCATGGTGACTGCTGTTGGGGGTTATGAATGTTAGGACAATATGTGGTTTAAGATTGTACAAAGTGATTAGAGGGAGTGAAGGTTATTAGTAGGTCGCGAGATAATAAAATAGTTCAAGCGCGTTCCACCGGCATATCGTCAGACAGCATGACTCGCTTAGGTAAGCTTTCAAAGTACCCAATGACTCGATGCAGCGATAAGATGCCCTTTGCACGTGTTGAATGGTATTACTCGAGCACTATCAGAATCCTATATATTCACTGCCTGGAGACACTTAGGGACCTTTGATAGGTTTGATGCTCCAGCATAAATTTATAAGAGTCCGGAAGATATCCTGCCTCATTCTACTGAGGACCTGTACGCTAGAATCGATGAGCTAGCCCGGGACCTTACAGGTGTATATGAAGACGGATAAACTGTGAGAGACTGTATTTAGATTCCCTTATTACTATTCACAATTCGTTTACTTCCAATGATCACGTTCGTCCAAACGTTTGCAGAGAGAACATACATTATCTCTTAGATTCTTGCTCCTAAGTGTCTTTATGCTAGGAGCAGAAATCTCAGGTATAGCTTCAAATAGAAGATGTGATAAATGGAAGCTCATAACCCTATTTTCATATGAGTACAGGACAGGATACTGCAAGATTATTACGACTCAGGTGAGCCTTCAAGCAAGTCTCGAATCCGGCAGAAGTCAGCGAACTTGAAAAAGGCCCATCTAGACAGCCCAAAATGACAAGAAGAGTCGAATACTCGAGCCAAAGATGCTCTGTTTCATTTGGGCTTGGAAGATTGCTCTGGAGTAGATTATCCTAACCTTCCTGGAGTTACAGAGGGAGTACCCGAGTCAATTCTAGCCTTGGGATAGAAGTAGACAAAAGCTCAAAACATAGAACTGGAAGTGTCCGGCTACGCTTTTGTTGCATACACTGCTGGACGGCCCCAATCATTCATATTATGTATCTGCACTGCCTAGCCCTGCGATCATCACCTTCCTTGTCTCTCTGCTCGAAATTTCGTTGAGACAATTCAAGCTGGATGTTCAAAGTGATGTCTTACAGATATCAGACGAATACAGTATTCGAGAATGTTGCGATCTTGGAGATGAAGATCGGAACTCTATCATCCCATGTTATTTCTTGTCAAAAGGTTTTCGTTGCACATCTACAACGATTTTCTGAAACTCTTATATGAAAGTCCTTGAACGCCTGATCACGGCACTGCAGACCTCCCTGCCGTTGTTCAAATATCCACTGAAGTGCATCATTCTTTTTGTTTGTAATGATGTTTTTGAGATATCGGATGATATTTGAAAACGTTGAATTTGGAGATGGAGATCTGAACTCTATCATTTCATCTTTCTCGTTGCCAAATGTTATTGTTTGTATGTCTACGAATTCTTTTTGGGTAGCCCCAAAGAATGCTCTCGAAATTTCAGCGTTAGACATGTTACTTTCCCTGCCCCTGTTTAACTCTTTGCTGAGATATTGAGTATTGTGTTCGATGCAGCTGTATGTGGCCAGGCAAAGAGTCACCCAAAGAACTTGAAGTAGATATGCTTCGGGTCGGTCAGTCACGTTATTGACCTGAAGTTGGAACGATAGCGTTGATCCTCTAAAAATTGTGTCCATTTCATGCACTGATAGAGAATGAATCGAACTATAATATGTTCAGGAAAGTAGAATGAAGATTATCCTTGTGTTGCATATCTAGAATTGAAGGACTAATATTAGGGCTTATAGTCAGTGTGTAGTAGTCAATAGTTAACCAGTTGAACCAGTGCACTGATTAAACTTGCAGTTTAGTGTGTTTAATCCAAACTGTCAATCGGTTTACTTTGCATAGTTTCAATTGCCAGATCAACTACAACCCTCCAAACTGACGATTTTCCAACTGGTTCAAATTACTCACTGCACTATATATGATCAGGGCATTACGATATGCACGCCCTCTCTTCAAGCTCTCTCTTTCCTTCCTTCCTCCTTCCTCTTGTCTTCCTGTAAACTCAAAGCTAGAGGTTGTAGAAGAAGTATATCCATAAGATGATATAAATAGACGATAAATTTGATATAATTGGGCGCGGAGAGCCTATAAAGGGGTTGTTCGATTGAAAGTATTTCTTTCCTTTCACTTACTATTTATTCAAAGCTCAAATATCATCGCATGACCCAACTGCAAGATTATACCAGAGTCTTTAAAATGAATAAGCTTTATGGTAACTGCTAATCTTACATCTAAAAAATAGATCTGTCTACTCGTATCTACTACTACTAGGAATAAATAAGCATATCATAGCACAAAACGAAAACACGCCTAAAGTTACTCTAAACATATCCATCCATCCATATTCATCCATCCATACACACACATCACAACCACAAAAATCTTGCATCTTGCTTCTTGCATTTCATCAAAAGGAAAACAAATGGAAATTTACTACTTGTCGAAAAAAGGACCAGCTGAACTTAACGTTATAGAAATGTAATGGAATGGTGACTGAAAAGTATATCGACAAGTATTAGGGCTATTTATGGTCGAGGGTTATTCATTATTAACGGATAGAATGATATACTGTACGAAATAGTCTCGAGTGCAAAGGTATAGTCGTTATTCGATTCCTTCTAATCTCAATGCCTACGGCGTGGGTACTTTTCTGCCAAGGAAGAAGGTAGCGGGCGGTTGTCACCACTCCATTGTTATGGACTGACTTGAACAATTAAACTGCTCATGCCTTCTTCTTTGAAACCAGTTTAGTTTCATTGAAAGGGAGACGCTGAAGTGAACTTCGTCCTGCTTTTCGACGATGGAAAAGATACCAAGTCATGGTCATGGTTCAAAACAAATCATCACTGGTGAATATACTAGTCTTGAATTCAAATCATAATTACTATTGACTTCCCTCTGCACACTAATTACATAGGCAGATATGGACCCATGGGTTTGTTCAATTAAAAAAAAAACAGATTACAATGGCTTGCCACCGATGAAATCAGACCATCTGCGAACTTCTCCTGGGATACCTTCCTTGCGAGGAAGTCTCTCGCTCATGCATTGGGCAAAGAGCTCAGCTGTCTAAGAAAATATTAGCATAAGATATGTGGGGATTGAGGAATGATTCTTACCCTTGGTTCCATGAAAAGAGGAACACCGAAGTCGACAGCGTTTCGGCGCATGACATAGTCGGTGTCCTGAACGGTCTTACCTCTCGCGAGTGCAAGATTGAAAACACCACGGATATCATACTTCTTGAAAACTTCTCTCAGAGCTCTCTTGTCTTCCTTGGGGAATTCGATAACCTCAACACTGACACCGCCCTTGGCAGTCGACTCCAATAGTTTCTTAACTTCGGGTTCAGCAGCGTAGAGTTTGTAGCCCAAAGGAGATAAGTAGTCGACTATCTTAGTAAGGGAAGTCTTAGAGACATCACCACCGAAAAGAAGACCCTCTCCTGGTTCTGGCATACGGAAATTCATGGTTGATTGAAGAGAAGCCCAGTAAGCTTCAACGAGATCCTTGCCGAAGCAAGCAATCTCACCAGTACTAGACATCTCAACACCCAAGAATGGATCAGCACCAGCAAGACGAGTCCAAGAGAATTGTGGAACTTTGGTGGCAACGTAATCACGCTTGATGGCCATGAGATCGGTGGGTTCAGGGACTTGCTGACCTACGAGAGCCTTTGTAGCGACATCAATGAAGTTGACACCGAGAACCTTGCTGACGAATGGGAAGGAACGAGATGCACGCAAGTTACATTCGATAACCTTCAATTGTGGAAGATCTCCCTCAGGATCTGCGGCCTTGATGATTTGCATATTGAAAGGTCCGGTGATGCTCCAAGCCTTGGCAACCTTTTCAGCAATCTCCTTGACACGGTCCATTGTGGTTTGATCGATAGAAACAGGCGGTAGAACAAGAGTAGCATCACCCGAGTGAACACCAGCTTGCTCGACGTGCTCGCTAACAGCGTGGAGAATGAGTTTGCCGTTAGATCCAACACCATCGACATCAATTTCTTCAGCACCTTCAATGAATTTGGTGATGACAACAGGGTGATCAGGGGAAACATTGCTGGCGGCCTCGAGTTTCTCCTTGAGTTCGTCCTTGCCTCGAATGACAGTCATGGCAGCTCCAGAGAGAACATAACCTGCAAAATCGGGGAGTCAGTAACTGCTTATCAAGGATTGTGTTTGGAGGAAAATGAGAAAAAGAAGCTGCGTTAGGAAATGAGTTTGTACAAGATGAAATGTAAAAGTGGCAACAGGATTGGGTATTAGGAAATGTGGAATTTGTAAATCGAGCAAGCTTACTGGGTCGGACGAGAACCGGATAATTGACTTCCTCGGCGAAAGCCTCGGCGTCTGCAACAGAGGTAAGCTCCTTCCAGGCTGGTTGATCAACTCCAATGCTGTCCAAGATGGCAGAGAACTTTTGTCTATCTTCTGCCCTGTCGATATCCTTAGGATCTGTGCCCAAGACCTTTGCCTTGCCCGTTTCTTGCAGACGAAGAGCAATGTTTTGCGGTAGTTGACCACCGACAGATACAACAACTCCAGTGGCAGCTTCAAGTTCATAGATGTCCATAACACGTTCGTAGCTTAGTTCTTCGAAGTAAAGTTTGTCGGCAGAATCAAAGTCTGTTGGTCTTATTAGCTGAAATAACTAATGAGGGGATTGAAGGAGGAATACGTACCTGTAGAAAAAGTCTCGGGATTAAACTTTTGGTGGAAAATTAGAAAGTTAGCACAGTAACTGATTGACACCGATGAATGAAACTCACGTTAATCATGACCGTTTTCTTGCCCATTTCTCTCAAGGCATTAGTGGCACTGACAGCACACCAATCGAATTCAACTGAGCTACCAATTCTATACACACCACTTCCCAAAACAATGGTTCCATGATCATCAAAGGTAACATCATGAGTTGAAGCATTATATGTTGTGTCTGTAACATTGAGTTAGTAAATGTCTTTCGAAAAACTTGTGTGTTTGAATATTCCAACAGGATTAGACATAAGAGGAACTAGGAAATGACTATGGAAAAGATTGTCCAGCCGAAAATCCAAATAGAATTGAAAATTCAAACAGAGTTGATCATCCAAAACGGAACTGGAAAATCAAATCCATTTGGAGAACCAAACACAATGAACCTTTCAGAACTGAGTTGGGACACTCAAAAATGTTGGAATACCCAAATGAACTTGAAAATCCCAACAGACTTGAGCATCCGAACATAGTCGGACGTTTAGAACATACAACAAAGAAGAACATCCAAACAACTTGGACATACATGTAAAGTCGTAACAGAACGACATAATTGGAGTTCAAGGGAGGTGAAAGAAAATGGTTTACTCACATAAATAGTTAGTTTCTGCGGGGAACTCAGCGGCAAGAGTATCAATTCTCTTCACAAAAGGAGTGATACGAAAGTTCTTTCTGCGAGCTCGAACTTCATCCTCGGTGGAATTGACTGCATTGGCGATTTGTCTGTCAGAGAAACCCATTTTCTTTGCCTTTTGGATAACTTCTTTCTTAAGTCCATCAAGACTTCCAATGTCCTCAAGTTCGTGGGTACAATCAACAATGTTCTGGAGTTTGTACAAGAACCATTTGTCAATCTTGGTCAGGTCATGCACACGATCAACGGTATAGTTCTCGTGAAGCATGGCTTGCCCAACAGCTAACCAACGGCGATCGGTAGGATTTTGAAGTTCGTAGTCAAGGTCATCAAATTTGTCTCCTTGGAAACCAACGAATCTTGGATCAACTTGACGAATAGCCTTTTGGATAGATTCTTCGAATGTTCTGCCAATAGCCATGACTTCACCAACCGATTTCATGGCACTGCCGATGTCGCGCTTGACATGCTGGAACTTTGATAAATCCCATCTAGGAATCTTAGTGACGACATAATCAAGGGAAGGCTCAAAATTTGCAGTCGTAGTCTTGGTAACAGCATTTGGTAACTCTGGAAGAGTATGACCAAGTCCAATCTTGGCAGCAGTGTACGCAAGAGGGTAACCGGTAGCTTTAGAGGCAAGAGCAGATGATCGAGAAAGACGAGCGTTGACTTCAATAACTCTGTAGTCTAGTCCATCTGGTTGTAGAGCGTACTGAACGTTACATTCTCCAACAACACCCAAGTGACGGACGATCTTGATAGCAGCTGAACGAAGCATGTGATATTCCTCGTCGCTCAAAGTCTGACTAGGGGCGACGACGATAGAATCACCGGTGTGAATGCCGAGAGGGTCGAAATTTTCCATGTTGCAGACAGTGATGCAGTTATTACTGGCATCTCTGACAACCTCATATTCAACTTCTTTCCATCCCTTCAGAGATTTCTCAACCAGAATTTGAGGTGACAATGTCAACGACCTAGAGGCCATATTGCGAAGTTCTTCCTCGTTGTCTGCGAAACCAGAACCGAGACCACCAAGAGCATAGGCAGCACGGACAATGATTGGGTACCCAATGACCTTTGCAGCTTCCAAAGCCTCGTCCACGTTTGATACAGCGACCGATTGAGCAGTTGGAATATTGATCTCAGCAAGAGCCTTGGCGAACAGATCTCTATCCTCGCTGGTCTCGAGAGTCTTAATGCTGGTACCCAAGACCTTCACTCCATATCTTTCAAAGATACCCATACGCTCCATTTGTACACCGAGGTTGAGAGCTGTTTGACCACCAAAAGTAAGGAAAATACCATCGGGTCTTTCCCGCTCGATAACATATGTAACATATTCAGGTGTGACTGGAAGGTAATAGACCTCGTCGGTAAGAACGTGGGCAGTTTGGATTGTAGCAATGTTGGGGTTGATGAGCACAGAAGCTACACCAGCTTCTTTTAAGGCCTTCAATGCTTGAGAACCTATATTGAAAGAACAATTAGCATGCTACAATATCCCATCTTTGGCAGTTTGACATGATCGGATTTGAGCAGATTTTCTGCTCCAACAACATGACTCATTCTACCAAAAGCTGATGTCCGGAGTACCAACCTGAATAATCGAATTCTCCTGCTTGACCAATGCTCAAGCCACCACTTCCAATGACCAAAACCTTCTTCACGTTGACCGGGTTGGCAGCTCCCTTCACAACCCCGCTATTCAAGTATGCTTCCGCACTGGGCGCGGTTTGTGTCTGATCCCTGAGGAGTGTCGAATTGGAGAAAAGTCGAGCATATTTGCTATTTTTCCAGACCTGAGCCGGTTGACGATGTACAAGGCCGTTGATCGAAGCTCTAGTGGTGAATGCTCTCGCAGGCAAAGCTGGAACCTTGCATTGGCGGAGGAGGGATGAGGATCGATATGCGAAGCGGTTTGCGAACGCCATAATGTCGAGTTGAAGCTTCAATTGAACTTCTGGAAAGTAGTTTGTCCACCTGGCCCCCTATAGTTTGCCCTACCAATTATTTTAAAGGTTGAATTGGCTTTTTGTGGGAATATGAATGGGAGTTTTGACAACGGATTTTTTGTTGAAAAACTACCTGGGGCAGCTTTTTTATAAGCTTTTCGTGCGGGTATGTATGTGCGTGTTGATAATAAAGGAATGATAAACCTCTCTGTCTTAGCAGATTGAAGTTATTCCTGAAGTTTGGAAGGTTCGAAGTCTCTGAGCATTGTCGATTAAGTTGGGGAAACAAAATGGGATTGTGAATTATGAATTTGTAGATGGGTTTGAATCAATATTGAGGGTTTTTAATTCTAAGATTTTGTTTTTATATTTTGAGGTGAGTCTTATAATTTGTGTGACCAGATGAGTTTGGAACCAAATTTTTCTTAGCCCCGCTTTTTGAGATCTGCATGGACAATCTAACCAACCAACAAAGGGTTATGATAACTACTAGTAGAGTTAGTCCCGATTAAGGATTAAGGACATTCTAGATGAACCAATTAGAAAGTGTAATTCATTTCATTAATATCTAAGTTTACCAATTGGACCTTTAGTGTTGTGATAAACTAAAGAAAACAACAGCCCTGCTGAGACGGGAGCTATTTAAACCCTTTACCGGACCTAGATCTCCCACCAAATTCTTGAATGAGGGGGTTCAAACCTCGAATATTAATAGCGATGCCGGACGATAAAATTATTCTTTCCTGCATTGTTTATGTGCGTGGCAGGAAGACGTTGAGTCTACTCGAGTACCGTATGTCATATTGAAAATTTGATACGCTATGAGCATAATCTTGCAACTTTGTTGGTAACTTCAGATATCATCCTGTGACAGTTAGTCATCAGCTAGCTGTGCTTCGCTTAAGTACCTTCAAAAGGGGAGTGAGTCTGACTTCTCGAGTAAATTCATTATTGTACCCAAAGAAAATCCTCGCATCATATTATCGATTTCATTTTATATACAAGCTATATATTGCACCCCTAGCAACATTCCAAACTGGCAAGCTGTCAGAATAGCAATCATTAGGGATTACCTCCATCTCACCCTTTGTCCTCCAACATTCACTCACTTACTTTTTATTTATTCGTCATACACTGTACACCCAATTGGGCGCCCCTTCATCTGCTACTATGTCAAAACTGTAGTTCTCAGCAGTCTAAATCTACTTAATTTTTACAACTTAAGTGATCAAGCCATCAAGTCATCAACTCATCAATGCAGTTCGAGATTGGGTTTATAAAAATTCCTGATTGTTTTTATATATGGGTTTTTGGAACGCTAAGACCTTAGTGTGCCACTGCCGAGCCGAGCCGCGTATCTCTTAGCAGCTAGCAAACATCAGTTAAAATGAGAAGACTTTTTAGTAACTCAACCACTCAGGTACACCGTCCATAGCCCTTCTGACTACATGGGTATTAGCATTACAATTCATTGCACACCTGAGGTGACGAGCCGACGAATTAAACACAATCAGAGGGGAAACTTACCATCCAGAAGCACAATGAGCAGTTGTAGTACCACAAAAGCCACCCGAGCTACAGCACTGATTATTGAAGGCCCCACCAGCACACGTGAGGCCTCCCTTACTAGCACCGCACGTCCCGTCGACAGAGGGTATATTTGTCGTGAGACAGGCGCTCGAGGATGGTTTCTGGCTTTTGCAAAGTTTAGTGAGTCTCGATAGCGCGATTATTTCAGAAGTGGAACTTACCAGCCTACGCCACAGTGAGTAGCCGTGGAGCCACAGTAGCCTGCGCTCGAGCAACAGTTTCCAAAGCTAGACTTTACACACGTCTTGCCATTCTTCCCGCACGCACCATCAGTTGACACATCTCCTGCTCCAGTGTCGCAAGTCCCAAAAGAAGTTTGGCAGCCTGCACCGCAGTGATCTGTCGTTTTGCCACAGAACCCACTAGTTGAGCAACAATTTCCGAAAGTTGAGCCTTTACACGTCTTGCCATTCTTCCCGCAAGCATCGTCAGTTGACACATTTCCCACTCCAACATTACAAACCCCAAAGGTCGCTTGGCAGCCCGCGTCGCAGTGGCCTGAAGTTGCACCACAGAAACCGTTTGATGAACAGCAATCTCCAAAACTTGATCTTTTGCAAGTTTTCCCGTTAGCACCACATGATCCGTCCGTCGACACATTACTATCAGCAGAAGTGCAGTTTCCAAAGCTCACTTGGCAACCCGGTCCACAATGAGTCGTCGAGTCGCCACAGAAGCCATTGGATGAGCAGCAATTGCCGAACCCTGACTCAAGACATATCTTGCCGTTGGAGCCACATGATCCATCTGAAGTAATATTATTCGCCGCAGAGCAAGTGCCGAAAAGGCTCTGGCAACCCCCGCCTATGGCGCAATGAGCCGCCGTGTTACCACAGAATCCATTGGCCGAGCAGCAAGCCCCAAATGTTGTTCCATTACATGTGAACTGGTTTGTGCCACCACAGGACCCGTCATTGGACGGCGAGCCTGGTCCTGGGGCAGGTGCAGTGGCAACGTTACAGTTGCCGAAGCCAGATTGACTATAAAAATACCATTTGATTAGCAACAAGGTTGTAAATGTGGGGTCTAACAAGTCTATAACAATCTTAAAGAGCAAGAACAGGGAAAGGAAGTGTTTTCGTCATGACATACCAGCCATCGCCACAAAAAGCGTTCGATCGGCCACAAAGCCCGTCCTCAGAGCAACATGCCCCCCACGTAGGACTGCAAACGAAGGCATCTGCCCCTGCACAGGTTCCATCGGGAGTAACCTCACCCGTCTGCCACGGAGGCAGTACTTCAGTCTGAGTGCTCTGGGAAGCCGCTTGTGAAGGCAACAGCCAGAGGAGAGCAAATACAAGTGCCTTCATTGTCAGTGCTGAAGATGAGGAGCTTTGGGGTTCTTGGAGGAGTATCTTAGACTCGCAATGCGGAACTACGTTCATATATAGTATGGCTACGGAGGCATCTTCATGTTCTTCCTGTTCCAGCCATTCTCAACCTGTAACTTAATTGGCAATATCGGATTCTGACGGCTCTAGAAGCATTGGGCATCAACAACGCACGGAAATGATGGAAGAATTTTTTTATATCCCATCTTTTAGTTTTATGAAGCATTTGACGTCAAGATAACGTTATGCTAGCATAGTAACTTCTCAAAGCGGCCAAATCCCATCTAGAGAGTGTGTGCCCTGTCAGACCTTACAGGCTACATTGGATTACATAATTGCTTATTTCCCGTGGGCCGTGTTTTGCTGAGGTTCTTATAGGCCACATCGTATTTCCAATGTAAGAAATAATATTCACCGTTGATATTTTAGCCGGAGATAAAGTCTGGGCATTACTTGGTATATTTAGTATTGTCATGAGTGTTTCTACCCTTGAAATGCACCAAAACCACTGTAAAGTGGAAAGCCCTTCGGCCTGTGTAAGCGCCAAGCGAGTTACCCCCTTTCTTAGCGCTGACTCACTTAATCAACGCAGTGTTTTTAAAGTACCACGAGTCTGATACAACATCGTAAGAATTTTCTTTTCACTTGAAATGGATATATTTGATGACCAAGTATTGAAACTTGGCATTGTAGAGCGGGACCTATCTGACAAGCACCATGTTAGAGGAGACTGGTGTATGAAATAAAAGATGGATAGACTATAAAAGGCGTCGGTATGCCGTGGCCTATGATGATCAACAATCCAGTTGTGACAAACTTCCTTCTTGAGGACTCTTCCAAGATATGGCAGCTATTATCCAGTCACAACCCACGACGAAGCTACTCGTTGGCCTCTTCTTTCTGTGTTTGGCAGCTCTGATTCATGCCGAGCCAGACTACTCTCGACACCCCCGTGATATCTCGAACTCGTACTCGAATTTGAACGTTAAGCGTCAGAACTCTTCAATTGGCGATGGTAAGTGCTCTTACTATTGCAGACGAGGCATATTCAGACATTGACGTCTTTTTCTCTCTGTAGCATGGCGCGATATCGTTTTCAGCCCAGGCCATCAGAACCCGGCCAAATCGCCGGCTATTCCTATGCCCAACATTGAGAACACTACCCTCACCTTTAACAATTCCGTGTCTGCGTTCAACCCCAGGGATGTGAATATACATTCATTGCAGCGACGTGATGCCCTACGCTGTGATAGTGCCCCATGTATCGACGGGAGGTATGTGCAAATTCTGCTCTTTCCGTAACTTTCGGCTTATATTTTCCCCAGTTGTTGCAGCACCGCAGGTATCTGTGGCTATGGCCCGTCATACTGCGGTGCCGGCAACTGTACTTCATATTGTGAGGCTACCGCCATGTGTGGAGAATTTAGCGAAAACGCCGACGTGCCATGTGGCATGCAGCTCTGCTGTTCGTCCTCGGGCTGGTGTGGTGTAAGTGAACGTTAACATGACCCACCTGCCCTCTTCCCTGACATCCCCATTTAGACAGTCTGGAGGCTAATGATACTATTCAGACTACAGAGGCTTTTTGCCACAACGCTGATCCAGTGCACAAAACTTTGCCATGTCAGGCCGGATACGGCTCATGCGCTATTTCCCCATCGCCCTCTTGTGATTCTGAGGGCAACAGTACCGATGGACGCACTATAGGATATTATCAGTCCTGGAACATGCGCCAACGAAAGTGTGATACACGCTCGCCAGTGCAGCTTAATCTCAAGGGCTTCACTCATCTATTTTACGCTTTTGCATTCATCGACCCAACCTCCTTCCGGGTCGTACCCGCGCACCCGGACGACGAATACTATATGAGAGACTTCACAGATATGTCAAAAGATGGCTCGGTAGAGACTTGGATCGCTATCGGTGGATATGACTTCAGTGACATCGGACCTACACATACCACATGGTAAGTCTCTTTTACCCAAAGTGCCTCCCAGTCTATCGAAAACGGAAGCCTGACATGTGTGGGTATTTAGGAGTGACATGGTTTCAACCAAGGCGAACCGCGCCGCCTTTATCGTTTCCGTTGAGGAATACATGCTGTATGTCATCTACCTTCTCCCCTTGACTCCCTGCCGGAAATCTGGCATTTGAAAGAAATTAAGAACTGATTTGTTTCTATGAAAGCAACTACGGCTTCCAAGGAGTTGACATTGATTGGGAATACCCCGGTGAACCATTGAGAGGCGGCCGAAACCTCGTTGACACAAAAAATCTTTCTCTGCTGGTACGAGAGATGCGAGCAGCATACGGCAACCGGTTCGGTATTAGCGTGACGCTAGCTCCCGATTACTGGTATTTGCGATGGTTTGATGCGAAGGCTATGGAGTCGAGCGTCGACTTTTTCGGATTCATGGCTTACGGTAGGTAGGCTGACAGATATGTCCCTAAACTTCCTTCCAACCCATTTTCCATATGACAAGGTCCAAGACTAGAGACGAGTGTGTTCAATGTTAGTATATCTATTTACTAACCACATATGTTTTGAATCATAGACCTCCACGGCTCCTGGGACTCAGACGTCCTAACGCTTGGTAAGATAGTACGTGGCCAAGCAGATATTCGCGAGATTCGCAACAACACAGTCCCACTATGGTTCGATGGTCTGGATCCTAAGAAGATCAACTTCGGCCTGGCTTTGTATGGTCGCGGCTACACTTTAACTGACCCCAGCTGTAATTCGCTCCAATGTTCCTTCTCTGGCCCAAGCAAGCCAGCAGAATGTACCAACTCTGAGGGTGTCATGTCACTCTCCGAAATCAAGCGGCTTGCCAAGGAGCGCAACATCAAGCCGAATTACCTAGAGGAGTCAATGATGAAGGAGCTCACATGGGACGACCAGTGGATAGGATACGATGACGAAGAGACATTTGCAGCAAAAAAGAAAGTAGCGAATAGCTTGTGCTTTGGCGGCACCATGGTTTGGAGCATCGACTTTCAGGATGATCCCTATTATTCGGAGTACGTTATCATTCTATCTTGTGTTTGTGTTTGACCGGAAAAGCTAAGACTCGATCGGTCTCTGCAATTTTCATTCTAACCATTTGTTCCTCTTCGGACGTCTTATACTAATAAGCGAATATTAGACCCGATCATAACGGAGACGACATAGAAGTCCCTATTAATCCCGGTGAAGGAAGTGACGTACCCATCGAGTGGAATCCGGACTGGAACCCGGCAGAATTCGGTACCCCTTTCACGGGTTTTGATAAATGTGATTTCGAACAGAGTCTCCATATTCGCACGGCCTGGCAGGACGTGGTAAAGCTCGCCAAGATACCTGCAGGATTCAATCTAGACCAAGGTTGGCTTTGTAATGGGATTTGTTCAGCTGGAACATTGGAGAAGAGGATTTGGGGAAGCGACATCGCTAGTACCGGCCGACGTTATGATGTGGGATTGATACGAAGTACGAAACTCTCTCTTCATTCTGTTACCGGATCGATACTAATTAATAACGTATAGAGATTTTCAACAATATCAAAGATTTAGGCAGCAAGACAACCCAAGGACAGATCCGCATCTCCTGCATAGACCTGCCCCAACCCGGCGGCATAGAACAGACGGCATGTTATAAGATTGCAAATGGCGGACTACCAACTGCTTACGCATTTGCAACCAGTAAAAACTTTGATGATAACACGATTGTTCTCTGCCCAAAATTCTTTACGAATTTTGAGCACCTGAGCGAGTTAGTAGGCCACAAACAAGCATATCCTTCAGAGACAAAGGATACAGACAGAATGGCAGGGAGAGCACATATATTACTTCACGAACTCACACATCTTGCCGCTATAAATGAGCTGTATCCTCGTAAGTGTCTTCCGTAAGAGGTAGTATACTGTCCAAATCAATAACTCAGTGCTCTAGGTGTTGTAATAGATCAAATCTACGACCCGTGGGTGTCTGCTGGAGAGTACGTCTATGGTATCAGGGAGGTAGAGAAGTTTGCACTCAATAAAGCTGATCGGACGTATCTAAACGGTTAGCTTGCCCTTTCAAAGACACTTGTAGAAGGCTCCTCTACTAACAATGCCTCTCCAGCCGATAATTACGCGTGGTACGCAACCACAAAGTACTTTGAGTCGATCTTCGGCACTCCAAAAGCGGAGAATCAAGGCAGAGGCGTAGATCCCGATCCCAACGATCCTGAGGGCGAACCACCGGAGAGTAAGCCTTCAAAAGCTCTTAATATTATTCTCGAAAATAAGCGCAGAGGGGTGCCAAACGATAACTCCGCTGAAGACGTGATGAATTGGCTCTTCTATTCCGTCCCTCAAGGGACATCATCGACATGTAGTGATGATCCAACCCCAGTTACTGTAGCCCCAGCCACGGGTATCACGCAGACGAATAACCCGCCATATCCTGCTGGGATATTCGATGTCAAGACTCAAGATGGAGACTGCCAATACAAGAACGATGGGACTGGAAATCCGGGTGCGGTGTGGTGTGGCGACAATGGACACAACTGTAAGGCGCACGAAGATAAGGATGCCCGCCATCTGTGCTTGGATCTTGCGACTGAAAGCGGATGGGGATCTATAGAACAAGTTCCTGTTGTGGCCTGCGAGTGGTAGTGATATGGGAACCTTTTATTCTATGAGCAGCACTGCATCAGACTAGTTATCAAATTTCTCCAACTATTCCCACTGCAGTTGATTCCTGTCGTCTTTCAAAGCCTTCTGGTGGTGGCAATAACGCGTGCGTCAAGTCGTATTTTTGATTGATTTTGACGTATGATACCTCTTCCAAATGGGTATGGTCGCCCTGATATACATATTAAGTGCATACGCAGGCTCTTTCGAGTAGAGCGGGCCAACACATGCAATGTATTATTACTTTCGCAAAACACAACGAGGAAGCATGGAGTTGTGCGTCTGTCTGACATTGTGTAGAGAACTGTACTCTGCCAGACTTGTGAACATTAGATAGCACCCTTTTTTTAAACCCCATAGATTTCCAACTAGTATTTCACTTCAAACCTCTTTCCACCGAAGTCAGGAAGCCTTCAAAAGCGTGTGGAAAAGGTCCTCGATCTATTCTCAATCCTATACTAACAACTCAAAAACAAAACTTAAAATGCCTGGTAGAAGCGACGCATAACGTACTGCTGAGAAACAAGCTGCCGCCGCTGGAGTCACCGAAGCCAAAGCTGCCATCGAAGAAGGGAAAACACTGCAGGCCCGAGCGGATGTTACCAGAGGTCTCCTGGGAAAGATGACGTTGACGTTCTCGGGAGGTGCCAGGAGGGTGTGAGGGACGTAATGGGCGAGGAGCACATGAGAGATAAATCGCTTGGTCCTGGGACAGAGGCGAGCAAGACTCATGAACATAGAGAACAGCTAGATTCGAGGCAATCTCAAGCCTTTCGTAGATGTACTCTTGTTTGAGCCAAGCAACGTCTTTTTAGACAGAAAATAACACCAGCTAGTGTAAAAAATCTGGAACATGATAATCCAAAAGCTGTATACCCCTCTGAATATTCCATGACTGCTCAATGACATTTTTTCAAGGGTTGTCAGAGGCATCGTCGAAATCCTGACGCAGCATTTTGCCGTACATTTCCTTATCTTGGAGCTTTCTACCTATAACCTCTCTTACTTACATTCACAGTCTAATACTCTGATACAATCCGTGAAAATCCAGTTCAACGTTATGAGATGGATGGCGCAAACATTGGCTGAATGTGATCGCGAAAAATATCATAAAGTCCTTTCGGACTATCTAAAGCTTGGAAATACCGAAAGCTTCCGATCTCCAAACCCTTCCTCGAAATCCAGTCTATGCCCAGGGCAAGCCATGTTGAGAAGCGTATTTTCATCCTGCTTCAGGGCAGCTTCGAAAGTAGTGGTCCCGGAGAAGTGAAAGGGCGAGTGCTTGAGGAGTCATCGCAATGTATTTAGCTAGGGCTGAGCTGATGGAATTTGGGCAGCCAGCGATTACTCATCCACCCAGAGTATATCGAGGCTATCGACGCCCGAAGATCTTAAAAGCCTTCGTGTAGATGGCGATTGTACAGTTCGACAAGGCACAACCAGACTTATATCAAATATAACGTTCATGTATCCATATTATCGAAAACGAGGATTAAAGTATTACCATACCCGTTCCTTTAATACCATAAGTCTCTTGTTATAGCTGCTAGTGCATGCACGTGACAGGCTAACCTAACTCAATTCACTCACTGAGTTCAACCACAACGTTGTTATTGTTATTGCCACCCCTCCATAAGGCAGTCCGAAAGCCTCACTCAATCGGTAGTAGCGACGGGCAGTGTATACAAAAGCGTAACCTGATGACTTGCTCACTAAGCCCAATTTTATAACTTTTTCTCGTACTAGTAGTAGGATATGGATTCGTCATCAATTCCACCAGCACCAAACCTACAGTTGGCACAGGTTCTCGCCGACCTAAACAACCTCAAGCAGGCAGTTTGTTTCCCTCACTCCTATCTCTATCTCTCTGTTTTTCTTGCATATCCTTCACACCTTCGAAATTTGACATTCTATTCTCTTATTGCTCTCCACATCTCCACATGCATCCTCACCCACTACATTAATCCCTTCCCTGATCCTACATACAAGTATGCTAACCGGTCTTACCTACAGCCACCCAAAGCCGCCCTTTCTTTCTTGCGCACTCTCTATACTCTTCCAACTACCAAGCTCGAGAGAAAAACCTCAACCTATTCACAACCAGCGCCCAAATTTAATCAGCTCAGTCGTCGTATATCTTCACTCTCAAGATCTTCCTCTGCCAGCCAATCGTCCCCTACATCACCATCACCGCCTCCTATCTTCAGGACGCACTCGTCCATGTCCTCGGATGATCTTTTAGAAACCGAGGAGTCCAAAAGACCTGGTCAAGAAATTCGTTGTTTAGAAAGGAGAAGTAAAGGAATATCACAGCAAGATCCAGAGTTCATGCGCGCGAAGAAATTGCTGTTCTATTACAATAATCGAGACACGCTACGAGAAAAAGGTACTGAAGCGCTGAGTTTATCACAGGAAAAGGTTGATAGAGCTTTCACCGAACAGGCGAAAAGTATATTGATGGAGAGGGAGAGTTCTTCTGGTGGGCTGCTTAGAATCCCACGCGGGTAGTTATTTTTGATATATGACTGAATGTTCAAATCTAAAAAAAAATCATATAAGAAGACTCTTCAAGTGAGGTGAGTGAACTAAGAATTTAGTATTCAATTCGAATTCAATCTAGTCTTTATCTGAACATTAAAAACCTACATACTCATACCTTTTATCTACTCATCATTCGGTGCCGATTCTCGATCACGATAAGTTTAAGCCCTGTTAGCTTGGTAATGTAAAAAGTATATTCTCAAAATATTTTATTATATTTTATTATATTAATAAACAAGCTTTGTTTCGGCCCTTTCAGAGTCTACTTAAAACTCGAAATAGTCTCTATATTTATTTATACTATATAGTTTATAACGGAACAGACGGCCCTCTTCCGTCTACCAGCTTATATATCTTATATAGTGTAATAATACGATTCTTTTAGATCTTTCTTTCTTACTAATACCCTCGATATATCCTACAGCCAGAAACAAACCAGTGGGTAACCTTCTCGGCGATACAATATCCTCGAAGGAGATAGACTCCCACAGTAGAGCTTACAGCTTCGAAGGTGATTTAGCATTGTAGGTGGTACTGTATTATTGAATTTATCTACTCGAGGAAATAGAGATCTAGAACATAATGGGATTCATCAACTCAAATACAAATCCCAGACCACAAGACCCACTATAAATCCCCAGTCCCACCAATCCCACCAAAGCCAACACTCCCCCCACCAGTCCCCACTTAACCCTTGCAAAAATCACCCATCAACTAAACCTATAATATATAACTAAATACGACGCTTCATCTATCAAACATGCCAAACTCCAGTGACGCGTAAGTTACTGCCTCCATTCCAAAATGAAGGTCCCATCAGGCTAATAAAAATAAATTATAGAGTGGTTAGCGTGTCGTTCTTATACTGTTCCCCTTGCGGAATAATATGAAGTTATGCGAAAGTCGTGGGTTCGACACCCACCTGGAGTATCAATTCCAGCCGACACCGGTTACATTTTTTTGCATTTTGTGTTCTTCATTTTGCGTTTTGGGTGTTGTTGGTGCTGGAGATCGGAGGTTGGCTTGGCTGATGTTTGTTTTGTGGGGTCTGGCAGGAGTGCGATAGGCCTCCATTTTGTTGGACTACAGTGTTACAGTGGAATGAATTTATATAAGTATATCTCCAAAAGCAATGGAAAAGCCTGGTACCATTTAGAAAGCTTCAGGCTAGGTGCTCAGTAATTAACAATTTAAGCTTGCTTCATGATCCACATAGTCCTCACGTCGATAGCAATCGTGAATATTTACTCCAGGAACTTGTCTCCTACTCTGTGTATCATGACGAAGTCGCTTTAATATATATACAGTGCAGATATCGTCATAGGATATGTGTAACTTAGTTTCATTGATAATAATGGATCGAGAGTCCCCGAGATAATTCAACCAAAGCTGGGTATCTGACATCCTCAAGCTCATACAGATTTCGCTCAAGCGCACTTGTTCGGTCCTGACTCCTGAATCAACGCTCCGACGCTTGCTGCCTTCGTAACGCCGTGTCTCTGTACTGTGCTTCCCTTTCACCAAAGGGATTTTATTGGCACCCCTCATGTCTACCCGGCATGACTTCCTCATCCTTTGTAAAGCCACCCATCTCGTTAACTCCATCTTCCCAATCTTAGTGACATGCACCTTCCTTCGAAGCCGAAGTATTCTTCCCGAATATCAAAAATCCTACAAATGCACCCACTCCTACTGCAAACATAACCCATCCGTTATATGTCATAAAAAGTAACCTATGGCTTTATTAGTATGCATACGCGCAAAAGACAAAAGACGGAAACTTACATCAACATAAACGCATAGAAATACTGAAAAGCGTATAATGCAGCCTTAACAACGTGTGCTCTCCGTCCCACTTCTTCTTGATTGCGTCCTGCCCAGAGAAAAGGCGCATTTTCAGTAACATCATCCACTTAATTTGTGTATACAATCTCAGCTTTCCATTCCATTGCTCAGGTATGAAAGTCGAGGGAGGGAGCAAGGGAGGGTATATGAATGAAAGTAAGAGAACTTACGTGTTATAGAACCTTGTTGTTTCTCGACCCAAGCTTCATAGCGACGGGTTAGGGAACGAATGCCTTCGTAGCCGGCAGTGATGGCGACGACGCCGAGGAGGGAGATAATGAGAGAGAAAGTGGAGCGGATGTGCCACCAACGGAAGATGATGCAGAGGTTGGTTGTGTCCCAGGTGAAGAGCATCTGCAATTAGGGATTAGTGATTAGGATTGAGGGGGAGTAAAGTGCACTGAAAACGAACATTCATGTTGCATCTATCTCCTCCCATATCCATCCCTATATCGTGCATGCTGTGGTCCATATGCGAATGATCCATTGTGAAGATGTATGTTATATTGAAATGATCGTTATCGCGTTATCGGTGAAGTAGATGGTAAGCTGAGCTTAAACCAAGGGTCTGTGGAGTTTTGAATGGAAGGAGAATGATAAGTGAAGATGGATTACGAGAATTGAAATAAATCTACGACATATATTACTTTTCGAAGCTGTAATCCCTTGAGTCTTGAGAGTCTGACGTGACGATCGATTGCAGTTACGAGTCGATGGTCCCCTATTTTACCTTCTCAAATGCGCGCAAACAAAGCTAAAACAGCAACAGCTCGGACAAGCTTCACTGGATTAATTGGGCCACGCACAGACCAGTATAACAGAAAAATAAATCATGCTGTTACCGCCTTTGTTCTGCCGTAACCGGGCCTATCGGATAGTGAGGGGTAAGGGTAAGCATCTTATGAATCAGAATGTCGTTTGAGAATCCATTTACATACACTTAAATCTTCCAAAAATGCTCACAAGTCCTTTAAATCTGCCTAAGTGGTAAGTTCTAATGTCGTTGAAAATACCAGGGGCCTTTGCTGATGATTCTACAGGCTCGAAGAGAACTCTCATCTCTTGAAGCCTCCGATTAACAATTACTGCGTTTACAACAAAGATGTGACTGTTATGGTACGATCGATAATCTTCTTCCATCATCATCTAGAACTAAGCCTCGCAGATCGTAGGAGGTCCAAATGCACGAACCGACTATCACATCAACGAAACCGCAGAATGGTTCTTCCAATACAAAGGAGCTATGATGCTTAAGGTGGTAGATGAAGGCGAGTTCAAAGATATAATCATAGGTGAAGGAGAGATGTTCCTGTTGCCACCCAATACTCCGCACAACCCGGTTCGATTCGCAGATACGGTTGGAATTGTCCTAGAGCAACCGAGACCGAAGGATTCGCTAGACAGATTGAGATGGTATTGTACCAGCTGTCGTGAGGTGGTGGAGGAAGCTGCTTTCCATTGTACAGATTTAGGCACGCAAATCAAGGAAGCTGTGAATAGCTTCAAGGACAATGAGGAGAGAAGGAAATGCAAAAAATGTGGGACGGTTGCGGCATCTGCACCCCCACCTGGATCTATCAAGGATCCAAACCTCTCTTGATCAACAAGAGAAGAACTAATGAATGTAATCTTTTTAATGAAGTCTGAACTCAAACTCCTCATGCATAGTGTCGGGTATCCTGGGTATACTATATACCTAGTAGGTAATTGGTTCAAGTCTCCTTGAATTCATATGTGCTCGTCGACTCTTCAACTGCAACTTCGATCTTGCCTTCTTTCAGCTCCTTACCCCCGATACTGATGCCGACCCTCATAACATCTCCAGGTTTCACTGATCCAACTCCCTTTGGCGTACCGGTCAAGACAATATCTCCCTTTTCCAAAGTCATCACCTTCGAGATATCGCTCAAAATTCTAGGAATTCGGAATAACATCAATTCCGTAGAATCCTTTTGTCGGTGTTCATTGTTAACTGTGAGCCATACCTCCGCATTATGAGGATCCGGAATTTGCGACTTGGAAATGATGTTGCTCATGGGCAGGAAGGTATCGAAGCCCTTTGCGATATCCCATGGGAGTCCCTTCTTCTTGGCTTCGTTCTGAGCGTTACGAGCGGTCATATCAATGCTCATTGCATAGCCTATGTCGTTCACTAGTTAGAAATCGGATCGAGTCATCCAATCGAGGACACGCACTTTCAATAGAATCATAAGCCTCCTTTTCATTCTCTGCCTCAAGATCTTTGACCTGCTTCCCAATGATCAAAGCCAATTCCACTTCATAATGTAGATCCACACCTTTTGGCCGAATGACAGCTCCGGCATTGGGAGGAAGGATCGAAGACGTTGGTTTGAGGAAGAAGAATGGTTGTTTGGGCTTGCTATTGTTCAACTCTGTGATATGATCTCTGTTTGATATTCATTAGCCATGTGAGATACTTTGCAGATACTCAATCGAGGAACTTTATAAGTAATTCATGGACGAGGAGTTGGGATAAACATACGCGTAGTTCCTTCCGATACATACAACTTTTGAAGCGCTTTTGAACGGTGACATGGTAGCCAGCCCACGACGAAAGATTAACGACATACTGAAAAGATATACTGTATACAAAAAAAGCAATTTCTAAACTTCTTATATACAGTATCGAAGGTTTGCCTGCTCAAGCTCAAATAGTCAGTGGTCTCCTCCTATTAATCGTGGGTGGCCCCACTATAGCTGATTAAAATGAATACACTATTATTATATCTAACTATTATTATAATTTTGAATTATACTCATCTCCAATTTAATCAAAAATTACTTAAACTATTTCAAGATTGATTAACAAATCTATTAATTAATAACATTAATTTGTTATAAAGCTTATTAAATTTGAAGTTATTTTGATTTCAATAAAAAGTTTAAAGATCAAGAAATCAGGTTTTGAAAGCTAATTTTCTCTTCTTCTATTACAGAAAAGTTGGTGCCTCAGACAGAAGGCAGCACAAGCTCAACCAATAAATAGTACCTAGTATACTACTCAGTAGATTGACGAACGACAGTGTCAAAGTTGACTGGAGTTCAAAGAAAATCAAACGCAATGTCAGACAGCTAGTGTTTGTATATACATAATGGATAAACTCCTCCATAACAGTATCTGAAGTATTGGATACACAAGGAGATGATTGAAATCTGTATTATTCTGAAGTATCAATGTATCAATTGAGGTAATGAAAGCTAGCTGTATATCCTCATGGTAGTCTCAATGTACCTTTGATATCAATGCTATGTCCAGCAATTGATTAGATCAGCAAGTCGATCTCGAATATTCTTCAAGAGAGATTTGAACAGGGCAAAGTGGTATTGTCAACATCTAGCAATATACAACCTTCCTAACTATTTCATTTCCAGGATTGAGATTCTGATCATCAGTGGATAAGAGCCCCTAATTATTTATATTTTATGCCCCGATCATATCGAGTCTGGCACAAAGTACTCTGCTCGCAATGTATACAATATATATTTTCTCGATATATAGTTCCATAGCTATGTTAAAAACATACCTTTGCAATTATCGTATTCAAACAAAGTATAGCCCCAGCTAAGATACTCTGTATACATTCTAAAGTAACCTGAATACCTTGCAAGTCATTTGTGATTCGAAAGATATCAGGCGATATTTTTGATAAGATATTGGATCTATATTGGGGATTGAATAAGTTACTTTTGCATAGGAAAAAAGGATTTTCAGTTACATACTGTTACTTTCTCGTTGATCTTATTAATTGTTATAATATTGCTGCAATTTGTACTAATAATGGAATATATATAACTATTATTCCTTACAGATAGTGTGGGAGGCATTGGGATTGGAAAAATAAACAGTACATGTGAGGTGGGTAGATATGAGGCTTTGGATATAACTACTGTGGAGGTAGAATGATATATCTTGTGTATATTGGGATAGCAGGGAAGTAGTTCAAAACAAAAAGAGCTCAGAGCGCAAGCAAGCTGGAGCAGAGATGAGTAACAAGAAAGAAAAGGAAATACTGTGAAGAATAATATGAGGCAGACTAAGTTTTAGTACTGTGAGATGAGACGAGTATACACTGGCTGCCTCGTTCCACACGCTTCTTCTTATACAATTCAATTGTATCCTTTGTACCAAGAAATCATCTCTTGTTCTTTGACTTCACAGCAGATCAAGTATGCCCCTGTTGGTCTAGCGACAGACCTGGTCGAATAAGACCTGCAATAGGATCCAAAAGAAGAAGATCAATATCAAAGATCATCTGACTGATAAGGGACTCAAAATCAAACTAAATCTATGATTGATTCCCTTTCATAAGAATAAGACAAATAGCAACCACATCAGTCAATTATCTCAAACCGTATCAATCTTAATCAATATGGGTGGACTATGTAGCCGACTTGACACTAATGTTAGTGATACTATCTTTCTTTTGCATTGTACTCGAGTATTGTATACTTACGAATTCTATAGCAGGTAGAGATCTTTCGTCGAAGCGTTGCAGATTTGGTATATGTAATACAACAGCAAGATGTTGTAAGTTATCAAGTTCTTCAATTTAGGCTACGAAATAACCATCGGTGTTGAGTAGATATTGGCACAATTGATTGAAACGGTTACGCAATTAAACAATGAAGAAATATCACAGTTACAACTGGAAAAGATATTACAGCATATTGATCCACCCAAAGCTTGCTCAAATCCAACGTCACCTCAGAATAGGAAAAGCAAACATCTCTCTAGATTCATCTCTAATTTTCAGGAGCAACAAGCCGATACACAAGCATTCATCGAAAAGAAATGTTCGGAGTGGCGCGAAAATCACTCTCTTTTCTGGAAGGATGCTAGCTGTTCAACAAGTTTAACATCAGCAAGCATTCGCCAGCTTTCGAGATGCATCGATGAATTTGAGGACGCAAAAAATTTAAATCCAATACGGCGACGTATTTCTTTAGTTGTGTTCTTTCGCCTTGAAGAGCAAATCCGAAAGAGGATCCGAAGTCTAATCATTGACACTGAGAGAAAATTGCCAAGCGGGGTAAGTTATCGATCACTGACAATATCTATCATGGTCGAAAATATTTGCGAATCGAAGAATGTCTCCCAAAATGAGAAATCAAAGATCAGATAAAAGATAAGTAGGAGGATGCGCATGGGCGAACGATATGCTCAACTGCAAGATGATATGCTCCTGAAGCTGGGCAGACTGCCGGGAGAACTCATGCAAGTATAATATCTGCCTAGTCTAGCATTTGCCAGCTAATGTTTATTTCAAGTGAACAGTGCTCTAGCAACGAATACAAGGTGATTCGAGCATACCTTGCTACAATGCCATATTCGCAAAGTTACAGCGCCTTGGTGGTGGACCTCAAAAAGGCCTTTATAGGTGCTGAATCTATTGAAGATGTGCAATTAGATGCAATTATCGAGTCGGGAAAGTTCCGTCTCGATCAATATGATCAAAGTGTTATCACCATTCTTTCTGGCTCTAATATCGACAGGTAGGCAATCTCTTTAATATAAAAGAGTCAAAAGAATATGAAAAGCTAACCAACGGAAACATAGTCATCATCTTCAATCAAGAAAACGACAATGTGTCGAATATAACATTCAAAACTACATAAACAACAATGCTAATTACACGGAGAGCCCTCGTGACAGAGTACCTGGCATAATCCCAATAAATGCATTGTTGAATCAAGCAGATTGTATTGCAGGGTCCACACAGGGTCAGCAGTTGCTGTCGGTCGGAAATTCATCAATTCAAATCGCCAGTGAACAGCCAGAAATTGGGAGCAGAGGGGAGAAGAGAGGTTTAGAGTCACAGGCCGAAGTGTACGATCCATCTAGCAAACACAGGCGTATTGATACACTTCCGAGCCACGGTTCGTCCCTTACCGAGGAATTCGATTCACCTCAACCCCCACAAGCACCAAGTGAAGTTACACATGACCAAGAAGGAGTGACTGGGAGCCCTCCTTTGGGGAATGCGAACACCAGTACGATATTTCAGGCGGAAGAGTACCAAGATTTTGGGACCCTAGGTAAGACTGAATGTGTGCGTTTCTTCAAAGTCGATGCTGATAATGATCAATCTAGAAATCGACTTCACATATAGTTACGCACAGAAAGAGAAGCTGGCCGCTAATCTTCGGGAACCATTTCTTAGTCCCGTGATAGCTGGATATCATCCGGAATGTATTCATGCAATGGTCCCTTCCGATGTTCACGAAGATGTTAGAATCTCCATCATTGTTGATGATAATAAGGCTACACGCGAAGTTATCAGAATCTTGGATTTACAAAAGCAGCCACAAGGTCATTCTCCAGACCAAATTCAGCTTTATTCTAATATACCGAAAAATAAAATATGGATTTTAGGAGACTCTTTAAATGAACGTTTGACTCTCAGCCAGAGATACAAATTGGAGTTAGGACCTCGTTCTACTTGTGTCAGTGCATTCATCTCTGATGGTGGTGGTACAGATGATGGCAAGATCACTTTTTTTTCTAATGATGGATCAGAAATCAAGTTTCGAATTGATCAGTTTGTTTGGAATGCTTCAAAAATGAAGCAGGCTTGTATTCTTTCAAATTGTACTAGATAATCTAGCCATAACTCCATGACCATGAAGCACACATATAAATTCCTTGGGAATTGTAAATGCTTCTTCAGCTGTGGCACAGCTCTTGCTAACTATTGGTTTCGTTCCAGCTTCTGGACTACAGATGATGATTCAATGTCCTTGAAACACAATCTCTCGCTCCTGGTCGCTTGTTGGGACATACCAAGCTACGAAATTAAACTTTTCCTCAATTATAGACATGATGCAAATAAGTGGATGATCGAGACTGTAGCAAATATATATTAACTAGAGTTCTATATATATATATGACGACGGAGGAAGTTCTCACCCAAGATACGATAGTTTGCTATATTTAATTGTAGGAGTGTAGGATGATCGATTGCGGATGATGTTGTTGATAGGAAAACGTCGCAGATGGATGGATCTAGCAGATAGGAAGATATCGTAGGTGAGGTGCAGGATGTCGTATGCGGATGCGTTCAACGGAAAGGTCGAATACGAATTCTATGATGAAACTTAACAGTTAGGCTACCTATATATCGGATAATATCGCAGAGGCACAAGAAGATATCTTATCTCATGAATTCTATGACCCGAGCGAGGGGAATTTAGAATTTATCGAGAGCTCTGAATGTTGTAGTTTTCGCAGTTTTCGTAGTGATGCGAGGTAGGTAGCCTTGTTATATCATTCATTATCATCCAATATTCTTTTCAACGTTCGTAATGATGAAAGTTGGAAGAAGTTTGTTATCAAACCCCACTATCAATCATTATTAGCCTACCGAGCATCAGATTTAAGCATTGTTTCAAGCAGGGAATAGGCCGGATGATCTCAGATTAGGAGACAAACTTTATTTTGGATTATATTCTATTATTCTTTTGATCTTAAATTATTATAGTGAATTATATATTGAAATATATTAAAATCTTATAACGTGGTTTATCATGACCCTGCGCATATCAGGACCCTGCGCACTTTTTCACCATTCAACTACTTTTCAATTCAACACGCGATTAATCAACAACCAACCATGAATAATCCTTCACAAGAAGCCCGAATTATCTTAGCTATCGAAACTCTTTCTAAATCCAAAAAGATAAGTCGTCGGAGTGTTGCTAACCTTTACAATATTCCTGAATCAATACTTCGAACTCGAATCAATGGTTCAACCCTGCTACAAGAACGTTGACCAGCAAACCATAAATTAACTAAACTGGAAGAGGAAGTGATTCTTCGATATATTCTCGATATAGATGTATGAGGATTTACTTCTCGAGTAAATGGTATGGAAGATATAGCGAACAATATTCTCGATACTTGTGGAGCATACCATATTGGAAAGCTCTGGGCGTATTGATTTGTACAACACCAGCCAGAATTAAAGATGTGTTTTAATTGTGTTTATGATTTTCAAAAAGCCCTCTATAAAGATCCTAAGCTTATTGAAGAGTAGTTTCGATTAGTAAAGAATATGCAGGCTAAATATGGCATTCAAGACTCTGATTTTTATAACTTCGATAAGACAGGCTTTATGATAGGTATTATAAGTGCTGATATGGTAGTTACTCGAGCTAATCGATATGATAGAGGCAAAGCAGTTCAGCTAGGTAATCGAGAATGGGCTATAGCGATTGTGGGTATCAATAGTGTGGGAGAGAGTATTCCTTCATTTTTAGTGGTTAAGGGCAAAAACCACCTTTCAAGTTGGTATACTGAGAATGATCTCCTATCTGATTGAGTTATCAAAACCACAAGTAATGGATGGACGAACAATGAGACAGGTTTAGAGTAGATCAAACACTTCGACAAGTATACTATTGCTCGAAAACAAGGTGGTTATCGAATACTAGTGTTAGACAGGCATGGGAGTCACGAATCGATTGCATTTCAAGAATATTGCAAAGAATACAATATTATAACTCTTTTGTTACTTTCTCATTCTTTATATATTACCCAACTACTCGATATCAAATGTTTTAGTGTTTTAAAACGAATATATGGTTAATAAATTGAAAGATATATTAAGGCTTATATCAACCATATCACCAAGATCGAATTCTTTATAGCCTTCAAAGCAGCATATCTACAATCAATAACTGTTCAAAATGGATTAGCTGGATTCCGTGGAGCTGGATTAATACCCTTTGATCCTCAAACTGTGATTTCTAAGCTAGATATCAAATTACGAACATCTACACCTAGCAGATCCTTCTCTGTAGAACTCGATCCTTGGGTCTCTCAAACACCTTACAACTCGAACGATACTCTCTTGCAATCAACTTTAATTAAAAATCGAATTGCATAACATCAAGGAAACTTTCCAAGTCCAATTTTTCAAACAGTAGCTACATTAGCTAAAGGTACAGAAATATTAGCTCATGAGGTGACACTTATGAATGCTGAGATTCGTACCTTTCGAAAAGCAAATGAGACATTGAGTAAACGTCGTAGAGCTAAAAAGAGTCGGATCCGTGAAGGAGGAGCATTTAGTGTACAAGATGGATGTGATATCATATTGCAAACTGAAGTGGATAATCAGATTCGATATGACGAGCATCTAAAGAGGGGTAATTCAAATGGGGAACAGTCAACTTTATGTCGCTGTGGCTCTTGTGGTAAAAGTGGTTATAATGTACGAACCTGTCAGGAGGATTTAGAAGACTCTAGTTTATCAGATTCCGAAGAGTTTCAATTAATTTTAGATGTTGTGGTTGTTAAATAATAATTTGAAGTGGTTGAATAG